TTGCAACCAAAAAAGGGGGATTAAAATTGATACCCTCTGGTAATCACATAATCAAACATGGCAATGGACAATACATCATTTACTGATGCTTTTCCCATCAAAACCTTAAACAAAAAAACAAATCCTATTGCCACGTTGATTACTGATTACATTTGATTACCACCCCTATATGTTTCCACTAAATCCCATGACATTCCCATTGATCATCCCGTCTTTGCGTCGCCTTCAAGGCCAAGCTTTGAGCCTCTCGCATGCGACCGTCCAACTCCTCCTGCAGGAGTTGTGCCTGGGAATCCGATGATCTGTGCCATCATCACTCACGATGAAAAAAAACAACGTTTCAACGGCTGCTGGTTGAACACAAATACAGCGGTCACCAGCATATGCTGGAATATTTATTTCTTGCTTTCCTTTCCATCTGCTGATTCCATCGCTTGTGAAACTTCTGCTGATTCCAAACTCCTTCATGTTCCAAACCTAGGATCTCCATCTTTGGGTTTGGATTCATAGGCCCGGCATTTAGCAAAGACGTCGCATATTTTACCAGTTTCGATCCAGAATCCTTCACACATCGGCATTATCACACAATATCCCGTCCAGTCTACTAATTCTACCTAGATTTCAGCAGCGTTTCCCTAAATGAATACCCCAATTGCAGTTGATTTACTAAATCAGCACCATTTATCTCAATTAATCTTAATGAATACCCCCTGGGAATCCACCCGGGCAAAACTGTGGAAAATAGTTGGTTCACAATCCCCAAGAACCATCAATCACCAGGTTCTAAATCAATTCAGTCCCCTTAAGATCTGCTCATAATGAACATTCCTGCTTATCAATTCATGGCCCCTAAACCAGCTATGTTCTTATTATCCCTAATAGTTAATTCATAATCCCCACCAGGTAGTATAACTCTTCTGGTTGGTGGTTTCAACCCCTCTGAAACATATGAAAGTCAGTTGGGATGATGATTATTCCCACTGAATGGAAAGTCAAAAAAATCCATGGTTCCAAACCACCAACCGTTGTATGAAATAGTATGAATAAAAAACTTGGCTAAAGATGTTGACCTATCAACCTGAATCAACCTCCCCTTCAGTTTGAGTCTATCATACAATGTGGCCCCCCCCCAGTCATAAGTTGGTTTAGATTCGCCCCAGTAACTAGTTCGTTATTTGCGTACCATAAACCATAGTGAAATTGGAGTTATGTGAACCCCAACTTAGCTATCGAACGGGGGCCTCACATTGTATATATATATATATATAATAATATATTATATCCCATTAATATCCCATTAATATCCCATTAATATCCCATTAATATCCCATTATTGTAGCCAATCAACCATGGCTATTGTCTTCAGGGCTTCATCCCTCCGCTTTTCCGCCACGCCTGTCTTCCCGGATCTTCTTTCAGCCGCTCACAGGCCGCCCAGAGTTCCAAGGCCACGCCAGAACGGCCCGGGCCCTGATGGCTTGCCATAGACGTTTATGGTAGATATAATCCATCAACAGATGCAAAAAAAACACTATAGTTACACCTGTTGGGTTTATAGTAGATATATATATATATAGTTACTATATATATATATAGTTACTATATGCTTTATAAACCATCAACACATGGCTGGTGGTATCGCCTTGTCACCTTGTGGGTGTCTTTTCCTTATCAAAGCTGGTGGGAAATTGTGGAAATATTGCAAACAACTCACCCAACATGAAACAAACGACAACTATAGTTTCAGTAGCCCAAGTTTAGCTTTTGTTTGCTTTTCCAATGACAAATTGGCAATGTTGAGTGAACATTTGGGGATCTATATGGGTCTACTCAAAAAAATGGTGAGTTTGTTCATCAACAAATTGGGGATCAACCGGAACCACATGCTGTGTAGCCAAAAGTTCCTACTTGTCCTACACAAGTGCAACAAGGCAGCCATGTTCTTGCCCAAACAAAAAAAGATTCCAATCCATATTCCAATCTAGATCGATTTGTTTTCGGTTTCACCCACAACATTTCATGCCCAATGCTGGTCGGTGGAATCCAACCCATCTTGACTCAAAATATGGCACCTCGGAATCCAGATGTGAACCCCATTGAAATGCCATTTTGGGGTATACACCATCTTCAGGCACACCCAAAGATCACCTTGTTGGTTAGATAGGAAAATCACCATTCATATTATATCCCTACTATGGTTCTGGTTAGTTTAATCAACATGTTGTTGAATTGGTACCTTCCGGTAAACTAACAATTTGCGAACTGGAAAAAATCACCATTTCAATAAGTAAATCAACTGTAAATGGGCCATTTTCAATAGCAAACATTTCTTATGTTCCATTCAGTTGGGAATAATCATCATCCCAACTGACGAACTAACTCCATCATTTTTCAGAGGGGTAGGTCAACTCAACCACCAACCAGATAATTCTCCATATGGGAAGGTAAATTCATCGTTTCCGGGTCGCTCACCCCATCTGCTGAAAAAAAATGGAAATCTGCCATCGTCATGGCCTCAATGAACTCAGACAGGGGGAGGCCAAGCTCATTGGCCTCCTGAGACGGGGGCAGTGTACCCTCTGGTAACGCGGCTTGCTGTTGAAAATAATTTATATAGTTCATTCATTGACCTATCGAAATGGTGATTTTGCATAGTTATGGGACACAAAAATCCGGTACCACTCAAGTTCTTCTTCATCCATTTTCCAGTGGGACATTGGAAAGGCCGCATCCAATTTTGAAACAAATGTGGGTGGAGCCCCGAAGGCCCGAACGTTAGTGGGTTTATATCCCCTATGAATTGCTCGTATCCTCCAAAGACATCCAAAGACCCTATCCCATAGGATCCATGGTGCTGGTATATATGCTAACATCAAGGGGGTATATTGATGGGATCCATGGCACACCATATATAGCAGCACCAGCCGGATCCGTCATGGGCTATCATCCCATATCTCATGCAAAACTTGCGGGGAAAATTAATCATCATACATGGCTTGTATCATCCTCATTTCATGGCCAAGGGATATGCTGGAAAATATTAACTAGTCTGCAAATACTCTGTCCTCATTTTAGCCAACACATGAAAGCATTATAAATTGAAATACCGGTCCAAGTTGTGTCCAGATATGATACTGTCTCCAAATTGGGAAGCCAAAATCCCACGTTTGATAACCTCCACTATTTTCCCCCCATCAATGAAAAGCTAGAGTAAATACTCTAAACCAAGTATATCGAAGTTAAAATACAGTCTATTAATTATAGATTTCATCAGCAACCATAGATATACCAAGTTCATCTTTCAGTCACCCAAACCTCGCTCCTCAAGGGCAGTGAGTAACAGCCCCTCAATGACTCGATAGTGCAACCTGAGCAGTGAACGGACATGGGAACTATAGGATTGTCCGAATACCGAAGTGAAGAATATATAGACTTATGACTTACTGGGAAAAACAAATCATGCATATAGTTGTTGGGAAACGTATACTTATATGACTTAGTCCTTGGGAAATACCCATAATAATGATGGTTGATGTTTTTCTATTGCAGATTTCAAGTTTTTATTGGAGTCTGATGCCTTCCAACGTACACAGTAACCCGGTAAACCCCCAGAACTGCACACTGAGATTGCCAGGAGTTGCTCATTGAAAAACACTCAGATACTCGTGAGCCAGGGATGTTTCTGATGTAACTTTTCAAAATTGGCATGTTGTCACTGTAGAAGACGCTAATAGATACTATCAACTACTATCAACATAACATCATATAACCACAAACAACAACTGCCTTCCTATATATGTTATCCATATGCAGTGCCAAACACTTTGGCTGGATCTGAGATGAAAACAATCACGGATCTAGTCTTGGATTTGCCTAAGGACCCCCATTCAGACAATATGCGCTATAGATTCCCCATTTCTGGTGGATTTCTCACTGGAAAAGAAACCACATTTTCAAATTGCCATATTCTGTGTTTGGAAGTACGCTGGTATTGCTTGGTTAGTGGTTTCAACCAGTCGACTGAAGCAAAGTGCGCATGCCAACATCGCGAAGAAACATGGCCATGGCCATTGCATTTCTTGCGGAAAATTGAAATCCTTTAATCAAAAACGATCAAATTCGTTTCTTTACATCAATAGAAAAAAAACACATCTGAAACATATATACACAATGATATTACTACACGTTGGATTACCAAAGGGTCTGTCCAACATCAGTATCCACACGAAGTGAACGCATCGCACCGCATCGACATAAATCCACAGAAATCCTACGTAAACTATAACTGGTTGGTGGTTTGAACCCCTCTGAAAAATATGAAAGTCAGTTGGGATGATGAAATTCCCAACTGAATGGAACAATAAAATTAATGTTCCAAACCACCAACCAGTATAAGTATATAATCCCTATGGATGCATGGCCACTGTCTGAGAAGATACGGAGAACCACCTAGTCATCATACCCCAAACACTTGTAAACCACTTCCTATCTAGGTACGGCTGGATCCATAGGGAAACTATATAATAAACCAACTGAACCAACTATGTGGCACCAAGATCCAACCGTCCAGGCACAATGGCGACACCAGCCTTTTAAGCTCCTTAGATGATGAAGAGCTAAGCCAACGGAAAGGTGGACCTGGGAACACCTCTCGGAAGGGCTTCTCCCATTTCATCGAATTTTTTTTGTTATTTCTATGAATTCTGTGTAGTCACATTTGTTTGTTGGTAAAATAAACCCATTTAAACCCATGTTTTTTCTGGGTTCATAGATAATCTCCATGAGTATATCCATTAATCATCCTTTCTTTATAGTTGGTATATCCCATTGTATAGTGTCTTTCCTGGGTGTAACATGGTATAACCACATCATTACAGGACGTGTTACCGACTAACACAACCATGGAAAAATCACCATGATCACTGATGATCACCATGTTTCATGAGAAAATCATCAAACTATAAATGGACCATGGCTTCCCTAGCTATCTTAGTCTACTGGAAGCTATTTTCCCATGAAAAATCCCCATGTTTGTTGATTAAGATCCCATCAAAATCACCCATAAAACGTGGACCGCGGAAACAGTGGGGCCGGGTTTCCATGGAACACTCCTCCAACTCCTCAGCGACGGCCAAACGCCCGCGGTTGTCGCGGAGCACCTTGCCATACTGCTGCAGCCTCGGCCGAGGCTCCTACTTGAGGAGTTTGGCAATAGCTACTCCTTGGCAATAGGACATCCAACTGTCGAAATGGAATTTCAATGAATTTCATATACCCTCTGGTTGTTGAACATATCAAAAAATGACCCAAAGTTAAGTAGATGATGATAGATGATCAACATTAGCTGATTAGCTATGAAAATTGAATGATTATTTTCCACTTTGCGACAGAGACCATCATGGTACTATATGGTACCATTCACTGGGAGACGAGTCATTACGAGTCGGCATCTGGATGTGGATCTGCCTAGAGCTGATGAAGCGTCTACTTATATCTAATTTAGAAGAATATGATTCGAATAATGACGAATATTATATGGGGAATCGAAAAAAATATGTATATTTAAGATTATATTTGTATATACACATGGATAAATATATGGATAAATAATCTGATATATATATATATATATATGGTTTGAACTGAAGCACTACACTTTTGGATGGCACCACGTTGCCTGCCGCCGAGACGGTCGCCCAACGTTGCGCCGAGACGCCAAACGTTGCGCCGCTGCGTCCAGAACTGCTCCTTCCGCAAGAGCACTTTGGCCCACGGAAGCCGAGCCGCCTGGCGCCAGGGGGAACAAAAATGTGGGGTATGGATTCATGGGGATTTAATGGGGATTTAATGGTGATTTAATGGTGAATTATTATGGATATCACGGGATAATGGTGATTTAATGGGGATTTGATAGGATATCATGGGATATCATGGGGATTCAATGTGGATTTAGCCTCTGGTAAACTGATACATAACTATGGAAAGATCCATCATGCTATTAATGGGAAAATCGACTATTTCAATGGCCATTTTCAATAGCTATGTTAAATTACCAGAGGGTAGCTTCTCAGATAGTGTTTGGATCCATGTGTAAAGTTTGTAATACTAATTGATAATTTACTATATATATACAATATATGGAAACAGACTAATGATGTAGTGATTGTTGCTTTATATACAGCATTCGTCAATTTAAACTGTAGCAAAAAGATTGTTCAGCCAACTTGAGGGACATCCAGGCCCACCATTCCTATATATTCCTATCACATCTATCACCAGAAAGTCATCCCAGCAAGAAATCATCCATGGTCATGGGATGAATGGGTTATGATGTTACAATGTGGGGCCCCCCAGTTATAAGTTGGTTTAGATTCGCCCCAGTAACTATAGTTATAAGTACCATAAACCATGGTTATTGGAGTTATAAACCAACTTAGATAACTATGGGGCACCACTTTGTATGGTCATCCCACCATGAGTTTTTCAGCTGTCCTCGCACCTCGTTCCAAAACTCCTGGTCTTCCATGGAACGCCCATGGTTCGGATTCTTCCGAGGGTCGTTGCGCATCTTCATCAACTCGTTTCGGAAATACTGAGGATCTTTCCTGCACGGGGGGAAGGCCTCAAGGTGCACTATGTTTTAGGAGACCTCAAACAGGTGGGTCACTGACTTTTCAAAACATATTTGAATACCCTAAGGATCTAAGGCGCATCATTGAGCCATATCAAATCTGCAGCGGCTGCCAAATTGGGACTAGGATGTGCCCATAGAGCGTGCAATGCATCAAACTCCTGAACTGCATTGCTCAGTTTGTACTGTCTGCTGACATCCATTTTTGGTAAACAAAACACAGTACTACACTCTACTATACTCTATACATACTTTTTACATCCGTTCTTCCTAGTCTATTGATGAGACTTGAGCAAAAAATCTGATTTTCAGGGGGAAAAACGATGGATTGCGGTCACCCGTTCTTTCGCCGAGCATCATCTCTTCCGGCCACTTGGGGTAGCCCAGACTGGTCTCCGAGAACTCCTGGTTGGGGTCAGAGACGATGTGCCGGATGCGAACAAAGGAAACCCAAAAAAACATAAAGCTGTGGATTTATGTTGTTTTATCACTAATTAATGATTCATCACTATATATATATATTATATATATATATATACATAATTATGGATATTTACTGTTCTATCTTTTTGGTGGATACTGGATAACCATATTCTCGTAGGGAGAATACGTGCTGATTCTCTTTACGCTGGGATCTCAGGTTCTCAATGACCACCCGCTGGGTTGAACAAATCATAGGCCATAGACTGTTGGGAGTGAGAATCATGCACCCGGCCTGGTAAACTAACAGTCTGCTATTGACAATGGCCATAGAAATAGTGGATTCTCCCATGAAAAATGGTGGGTCTTTCCATAGTTATGTAACAGTTTACCAGAGGATACCCCCTTTATTTTCACATCCCAAAAATCAGGAGAATAGTCTTGATTCACAGAATATAACCCATCATTGGTCTCCGCCCACACCTACAAAAGCTCAAACATATTCAAAAATCATATTAAAACAAATATAGCAAGACATCTCCCTTAGTCTGAACTATGTTTTTTTCCCTCCCGTTAGTCTTTGCGCAGCAAAGATTTCCCTCCTCCTGACACGTCGGAGCCATCAACCTCCGAGTCTCCTAAGGCATGGAGGTATCATTAGTTTGTTTCATGGGAGATACCATGGTATATGTAATATATGCTATATGTATGCATCTTAACTTATATATATATATATACATATCAGCAATTATGTATGAATATAAGTGATTGGTGTATGGTGAGGTTGTTATTGGGAACCCCCAGGGAACGCGAAAAAAATCTTCAATGTCGGCAATGCTAAACAATCACAGAATCCCAGCAGTTGTCAGGTCGGTCGTCCGCACAAAAGAACATCGGAGCCACGGCCCAACCGCGATGTCCCCTCCTCAGTAAGGGGCTTAGAAGGAAATTTGACTAGCAATCTAGCAACAATTTGAGCATTTGGCAATGAAATACATCCGAGATCATCCGAAATCCAAGATCCTTATGTCATTCTGCCAGCTCCCAGGCTGCCCAGGCTGCACAGGGCCCTGTCCTGCTTGACCTCTGCGTCCCATTGGCTCTCTGGAGCCGCCTCTGATTCCTCCTGCAAAGCTTCCGTGACAGGATCCATGTTGCATTGCGAGCGTTTTGTTTTGTTTGCCACTTGGAAGGGTAAAACCATATATATATATAATTAACCATGTAAAACCGGGTTTTACCCGGGGTATAGGCATAGGATCATAGGGAGTCTCGGTAGATTCTTAATCATTCTTTCAAGAGTAGAGTCAATCAGGCAAGGGTGCAGTATAGAGTCTTACAAAGTATAGCATCTTACGCTGAGACCTACTTTCAACAAAGACCAAGCCATAGCCATGGAAAATGGCCCATTTATAGATGGTTTACCTGGGTTTACCTATTAAAAATGGTGATTTTCCATGGCTATGTTAAATAACCAGAAGGTACCTTTCAAACTGTTTTTTTTCTATCAACAAGACTCCCTCAAGCTGCGTGTCGAATCAAGAGACCTTCTGATTTGTCGACCTATGTGGGTGACCTATAAAGCGGAATCCTGAAGATCCCTTGCTGGTTGTAAAAGGAACATGCCTTCAACAGTCTCCCGAGCATGTGGAAACCCTCACACCACTGCTCTTTTTGTATGTAGATAAGAATAAAATAGATAAAATATGATAAGATATGGATTCTCATATATAGAGGTTTCTATCCCAACAATGCAGGATATTGCTTCAACATCAACAACCTACTGGAATCCATGGTAGCAACCAGCAGAAGTTGCTGCCCAATCCTCGTCCCAAATGGACGCAGGTTCCGGGGAAGGACATCTGCGCTGGGTCCCGGGTGTGTCAAATTTGAAGACATGCGCTGCTCCTGGGAGATCGGTGAATTTCTCAGATACCCTCCGGTGTCATCAAACGTGGCAATGGGCAATGGCAATTCCCCCAGAAAAAATATGGAGCTGTCAACTCAACATCATCTATAAGTCGATACATGATGAATTCTCCATCGCCATGTTTGATTTTCAGATGCTTACATCTTACTGTGTGATGCCTCGAGAATGGCATTCAATGGCCAATGTTGGAAACGCCGCAACACAAATGATGTCTCACAAAGAGCTAGACATTTGGAAACAAATGGCAAGAAAGGCTGATTTTCAGCTAGTTCCACCTTTTGTGGCAGAAATTGAAGTCAAGCACCTACCAAACTGGACGGAGGTGAGGAATGTCTTCGGACCAAGGTGAAGACGGTGGAAGTGCTGACTCATGAATTCCAAGAGTTGCATGCAGCTTGGTTTTGTAACATGGGCTACCCCCAATTCCAACGGTTAAACATAGCCACAAAACACGACGTGGATACAATCGGGGTGAAATCCTGGATCGTCTTTAAAAAAAAAAACGCACACACACACACACACTTGGGGTGCAGTCGTTCCACTTAGAGTTGGAGATATTACCCAATATTCTACAACATTCTACAACTATATAGGTTATAGATGTTTATAATGTCCCGCCTTCTCGCAGTTCGCCGTTGGCACCGTTGGGCCCGTTGGGCCCGTGGGGCGCCGGCGCCGCGGCCGGTGGCAGGTCCACAGGCTCCAGGGGCGGCAGGGACGAGCAAGAGGAGCCGCTGTCAGACATCGCGGCAGGAACCTTTCTGTATGGGATGAAGTGGGTATGGGTCAAAATTAGGTACCCCAAAATTATGGATGGTTAATACTAAACTAACATAAAAGTGGTCCCCTAGGTCTTCCATTTTGACCCACATCCAAGTTGGAAAATCCTTGGGTTGGGTCATTCATACAATGTGAGGCCCCCTAGATGGCTAAGTTGGTTTAGATTCGCCCCAGTAACTATAGTTATAAGTACCATAAACCATAGTTATTGGAGCTATAAACCAAGTTAGCTATCTAGGGGGCCTCACATTGTACTACTAGTATCTAATAGATAACTTGGAATTGCTTAAGGAAACCCACGAAAATAACATAAAATAACATATTCCCTGATTATTTTAAGTGATCGATGAACATCACGTTTAGAAAATCTGAGGAAACTTGTTTTGGTTGGCATCACGGAATACGGAATCTTGGAAACCATGGAAAACATGGAAAAAAAAGGTGTTGGTTGGGTATGTCTAGGGACCAGGTTTGGTGGTTTGGATGGAACGGGAAGCAAAAAAAGACAAATTACTTGCTTGTGAAGTCATTGTTAGAACATGTGAACCCAAGATCTTAAGTGTCACTTTCTGTGACCAATGGACAGTAATGGCATATATGATCATCCCCGACTCTTGTTGACAATCTGACCACTTAGGAAACCACTTAGGACTTGGTTTTTGTTGAAAGGCTTGTGTCACAATCGATTCAGTGGAAACTCTGCCGGATCGGCGGATCATATCCCTCACTTGAGCCTGCGCGGCATCCCTCACTGGTTGGTGGTTGAGTTGACCTACCCATCTGAAAAATCATGGACGAATCGATGACGAATCGTCAGTTGGGATGAAATGAACTTCCCTGAATTGGATGGAAAGTCAGAAATTTCCAATGTTCCAGTCACCACCAACCAGATATAATCCCACTAATTATATGGTTATCAAGCATTATTAATGGTTATTATTTACTTTATTACTAATAATCCCATTATTATTATGGTTAATGGTGAAATCCCAACCAGAAAAGAAAGGATTTTTTCAGATTGCCCAAGCAACGTCGTCAAGATTTTTTAATCCCAAGATGACACCACAAAACGTTTTTGTAGAAGTCCATGCGGCTTGTTGTCTACGGGTAACCAGACTGGGATCCGTATCATCATTGAACCCAGATTTGACACTGACAAAGCCTCAATCTCTATAGAATCTCTAGATACTGAAGAGATATAAACTGAGTAACTGGCTGTCAAAGGATTTAGCTCCAAGGGATTCCAAGGTTCGAAGAATGTTGGGCGATACAAAGGGTGCCGGTTGCAACATCCTGGGAAGTGCTGTCCGCGCTATTCTGACTTGAACTCTCTCAAACGAACAACTTACAGTAAATACAAGAATCCATTCAAAATCAACATTCAACAATCTAACCAACTATAACAAAATATGTATACACACACCCGTTTTTTTAATCATTCGAAACAAAAGACACACCACGGCAGTTTTTTCCTTCCCGAATGGTGGTCGGTTTGAACAGGGTCATCACCTTGGTGCAACGACTCGGAAGTGGTTGGGATTTCACGACTATTTTTCACCAAGAACATGGTGAAAAAAAAAGTGGGATATTCAGGGGATTTCAAGGATTGTGAATGGACTATGAATGGATTATGAATAGGATTAAATGACATATTACCATCAGGTTCTTTAACATAGCCATGGAAAATCACCATTTTTAAGAACGGTAAACCATTTATTTCTATGGGCCATCTATACCATGGCTATGTTAGTCATAACCAGATGGTAACCCCTATGGATCCAGCCGTACCTTCAAGTTTTTGGATCCATAGGGATTCAACCTGATGATTTGGGTAACTGTAGATCTGTAGAAGGTAACTGGAAGTTGAACAATTTTTTATCGCATCCTAATATTAAGCACTCCTAGTGCACATTGCTGATCACATATGTATATATATAAAAAGATCTAAATAGATTAAATATGCTGAACAAATCTTTACTAAACCGTGGGGTCGGGGGGGTGTTTAATATTTGGCAAAAGCAAAGTCATGAACTGTTGGGTTTATACTAGATATATCAACCTAGTTCGTGGGGGCTACCTACGAACGTTTCTTGGTTTCTTTATATTGTAGTAACTGGTTTGAAAGTGGGGTTGGTTCACCCAGTTGTAAGCAGGAACGGACGTACTTTTCAGAGAATAAAAACACCTGGCATTCCTTGGTTGAACCTTCTGATCGAGCATGTGATGTCGAAGCCTGGCAACCACCAACACACCAAGGTGACCGGTGGGTTTCCCTACCTGTACCAGCTGCAACCTGGCTGAAGTGGGGCAAACCCTAAGCTTTTTCAGCACGTTCCACAGGGATACCAGCAACTTCCGATGAATCAGAATTGGGTACTCGTAAATTTGAATGTACTTCTCAACTGTGATGCAGTGTCAGTCCAGATGTGTCACCAGTATTGTTTTTTCTCAGAAATATGGTTCTACAGGTATTGAATATTGAACCAAAGGCATGATGAACACCTGTCTAGCGGGAGTCAAATGGGTGAAATGGTCAAAATCCGATTTCTTGCGATAGCTCACATCCTCTAAAACTGCTGGTCGGCCCAGGTTTTTTTCGGTCGGGAATTTTCAAGCGTTTTGAACCATTGACATTCTACTAGTTCAAAGCTACTTTATTATACCAAGTGAAACTGGTAAAACATCCAAACAGGCCCAACAAAATCCAGTGATACGTTCTATACCCTGCCAGCCAGGCCAAAAGACATTGGTGTTCATATTATATGTATTATATATATATATACATTTATGTCATAAGATTCCCATGAAACACAAATTACACGAGGGTACAACTTTAAGAAATTTGGTGGGAAAACCCCATGCCAGAAACGGATTCTCTTTGACCCCTTTGGCCTGTTGGAAGATGAGCTGTGGCCTTAGCAAACCACATACGGTTTCGTGACATCGCTAGGAGCCGCTGATTGACTCAAGAAGCATTCGGAATGCAAAAAAAACAATGAAACGATATTGGACAGCTGGAAGTTTCAAAGTTGGCATATCCCTTCGTAACATGGATTGAGTTTTAGAAGATTACTTTACCCTGCTGAATATTGGCTTAGTGAATTGTGATAAGGTCTCCCTGTTGGCAATACACATACTTATAAACACCTATACATACCTATACACTGATATTTGGTAGCAATATGTAACAATTATACTATTGATATCTTTTGATAGTTATCAGGCTCAACAACTCATGGAATATCTCCAATTGCAAACCGTTCGAGCCGGGGGATATCAATTCGATTCATATTTCGGACATGTCGCCTTGAAGGGCAAACAAATTTCGCAAGAAGTATATAATGTGGGTAAAACAATCATAAACCATCTCCCAAATAACAATAAATGTGATATTAACCATTCCTAAATGGGTGGTTTTTTATTGTTTTAACCACAATATTACCAATTTTAGTGGGATGAACACCCAAAAATAAATATAAATACGTGGTATGGTTACCATTCCCTGTCATGGATATGGTGCAAATGGCATGGTTTTACCCACATTAGTCATTAGCATATCTTGGAAACATGCAACACAGATGTCAGTGAGTTCCAAAATCCTGTAACTTGGTCTGTGCCGAAAGAGTTTTTTTTGGCACCAAAAATCCCGCCCAAAATCTCGGGTCGAACTGTGAATGATTCGACCAAAATGTGGCAAAGGTGATGCCATAAACAACCCGCCCGACCGGAAACCGCGCGTGGAGGCGTTGACATGTGTGAATAACGTCTTTGATACAGAGTGCATCAAACATGAGGTTTCGGCACACTTCAATCTTTTCTTTTAGTTCTTTTTGGGGGCAATTCCATGGTGTTTTTTTTTTTGATTATTTCGTGCTGTGGAAATGAGTTTTTTTTCTGTTTTGCAAGTCCAAAAAACAGAGGCTGCAACGAGTGCCTGTGAGTCATTTTCCCACGCCTGCCAGTCGAAATTGGGACTGTTCAGCCAAGCAACGCTTGCCGTACAGTTTTTGCCCTAGTCTTCAACATGTCTTTGCACAAATTGATGTAATGCCACTGCCAATAGTGTAGTTGCAATTTGAAGAAGAAGATAACGACGTAGTTGCAAGTGATGTTAGAAGAGCCAACAACGTACTTGCAAGTTAGTAACGTACTTGGAAGTTCTTCGCGGACAGAACGTTAATACCCCAACCCACCACACCCCACCCTACCTCATGAACGTGGTTAGAGAAGTTAGTATTGCAAGCACGGTTTTGGATACGCTGGCGAAATATGCGTCACTACACGTTCGGTTTTTGGTCCCCCGGCATAAACTGTGAATTGAGCCTTGTTGTCTCAGGCTGTGACCATTTTGTTGACATGTTGCCGAAAGTTTAACCCATAGCGTGTCTTCAGCATTTTGGCCTGTGGGGTAGGCAAAAGGTTTCATGGCGGATTTTGCAGCGTCGTTTTGACCTGTAGTTGGCATTGGTGCCGCGGAGCAGGGATGGCTTGGTGGCAAGGCGAGGGCTATCATGGGCAGCACTATGATAGCTGGTGGCGTCATGAGGACTGGGCGGATGATCGGCAGTCGGATGGATGGCATAGGCATGAGTGGCATGATGATAGATGGCGTGACAGTGCAGATGCATGGCAAAGTCAGGGACAAAGACATGATGACGGTAGGTATCATGACCAATGGCATGATGATAGGCATGAGCAGTGGAACACATGGCAGAGTGATGAACATTCTGCATGGCATGAATGGCATGGAAGAGATGACCCATGGGACACATGGGAAGATGAGAAAGCAGAAGAAGGTTCGACCAGTCAGCAAACACCAGAAGCAGGGCAGTTCACCGAAGAAGCATCTTGGGAAAATTGTCGTAGACAATCTGGGGGCGATGCAACTACAGACACGCCACGTGCTGTGTCTGAAGGCGACTCTGCTGAGGTGAGCCGGTCATCGAAGCGTGACCGAGAGCCGAAGACTGGGAAAGAAGTAGTGCCGAGTTGGGATGGTGAATCGTCAACTTTTAGAGATTACAAAAGACGTGTGTCACTGTTTCTTGCCACAACAGGGATAGACCCTGAGTTTCGTGGAGGCCGTTTGGTGGAACAATTGACTGGGGCTGCATGGCGAGCAACTGAAACACTGGACATGTCCACGTTGAGACAAGAAGGTGGAGTAGATACTTTGCTGAGTCACTTGCGAGAAGAGTTGGAGCCCATTGAGCACTTGCAGGTCTTCAGCACTTTGAGCAATTTCTTCAAGAGCTTCCGCCGTTCCAAGGGCCAGGAATTTGTGGATTTTGACACGCAGTTTCGTGTCCAGTGCCAGAAGCTGGAGGAGGTTGGGGCCGGTTTGAGTGGTCTCATCAAATCATACTGGTTCCTTGAGACAGCAAGCTTATCAGATGAATTGCGCAAACAAGTGATAACAGCTGCAAACGGAAGTTATCAATATGAGAAACTTCGGTTAGCCCTGATGGCAATTGTCCCAAGGGTTCGCAGGGAACAAGGCGAATCCCAATCGTCAACTTCGTCAGCCGATCACAAGAAGTCCAACCATTTCCGTGGGAAGTTCTATGGCCAGAACGCCCATGGAGTGAATGTCGTCGAGGACGCCACCGACCATGACCTAGAGCAGATCCAGGAAGAGCCCGATAGTGAAGACAGTGGTAGCACTCCGCAAGCAGATGATGATGCACAGTCGCAGATCATGATGACTCAGGCAGCGAAGAAGCGTGCCACGGTGGAGAAGAGCCGCGGCTACACCACGAAGCCCAAAGAGAATGAGAAGGCCGATGATCGCAACAAGCGCATTGCAGCCATGAAGGCCAATATGGCATGCAGTGCTTGCAGGGCCAATGGCCGGGTGGTGTATGGCCACTGGCATCAAGACCCTGAGTGTCCGTTCTATGGCAGCAAGGATGGGGGCAAGAAGGGTGCTGAGATCTTCTGCGTCCAGACCGATGAGGAGGACGACTCCGATGACGAGATCTTTACACCCGATGTCAACACAATCATGATGACCTATGCTGGACACCATGGACCAGAGAAGATGAAGAAGATTGACATGGCATTGAGCGATACATGTTGCTCCCGTACAGTGGCAGGAGCACCTTGGGTCGCATCGTGCCTTCGTCGTCTATGGAAGAACCAGATCATGTTCTATGTGGTGCGAGAAAATCAAGCATTTCGTTTTGGGCCGGGACCAAAGAAATGGTCGCAGGCAGCAGTCGTCATCCCCACCTCGTTGCACAATGACACCATGAGAGCATATCTACGCATCAGTGTGGTGGAAGATGACGTGCCACTGCTGGTCAGTCACCGAGCCTTGACCGACCTTGGAGCAGTTTTGAACTTGCCAAAGCAATGCATTGAGATGAAATCCTTGGAGGTGATGCTTCCCTTGATTAGCACTTTGGGCGGACATGTAGGCTTTCCCATTTGGAACGACACCATGATGCACGACTTCCTGGGAGATGAAGAATATGTTCGGCAGTTGTGCTGCCATGAAGATGTGGAAGTGATGCTGGTGGAGAATCCAAGGACTGAGGGTCATAGGGAGGTCACATGTGAGAAACATATCGAGAGAAAACATGTCACTAGGCAACCCCACAGGCCACAACATATGTCTGGTGTTCGTGTTTCATGTAAACGTGTTTCATGGAGTGAACCTCTCATTGAACAAGTTGTTGAATTTGATGGCGAAGCTTGCTCAAGCTGGATCGGTCGGCAAGTCGAACCACCTGGAATCCGCGAGATTCATGATGGCCGGATTGACGGGGCCAAAGACAAGGATGGAGCTGGTGGAGTCAATTGCGCTGCGTTGCAAAGTGAGCAAACCAGACTTGGGCGTCCACGGAGTGGAGAGATTGAGGGAGATCTGGAGAGTGGTGAAGCCAGTCAAGGTTCGCTTGATGCCTGCCGGCTGGAAGAAGATGGACCTTCAGGAGCTCAAGGATCTCTACGAGGAACTGGTGGTCCCTTACTACGACAGACCATCGGATCAACACTGGGCCCGCATGAGGAGGGGACAGCTCGTCACCGAGCTCGAGATGTACGAAGCAGATCGAAAGGCCGAGATGGCCGACCAAGGAGGCGTGATCGAGGACCTCAACGACCCGCCAAAGTGTCCCACATGCGACATCCCCATGATCATTCGGGAGAACCGGTTGACCAAAGATCCATTCTTCGGATGCCTTCGCTATCCATACTGCAAGAGCACCCTGCCGTACAAGTACGACAATCGTCCAACCAAGGAAGCTCAGGACGAGATGCAGCGTCAGGAGATGTTGGAGCAAAAGAAGAAGAGCGAGGCAAAGGTAGAGGTCAAGAAGAATGCGGCAGCTCTGAATCAGAAGAAAAGAGCAGTCGGTTCGGCTGGATATCAACCGGAATCAGACGGATCATGGGCGCCAGTGCCGTCGGCTCCCGAGCTGGATTCGGATGGACAGGATCAGAAGTTCAACGTGAACACCAACCTCTCCCAGGAGGAAGTGAACCTCATCATGGAGATGCGCCGTCGAGACGCAGCCCAGTGAGCTTGCCCAGTGAGAGCGGTTCCCCTCTTCCGAAGCTCAAACCCGATGAAGTTGCTGAAAGAATCAAGAAAGGGAATGAGAAACGGAAGTATTTGAAGAAAGGGGTAATTCGTAGAGCATGGCATAATCTTCATGCAGTGTTGATGGCTGTGTGCTTGATGACCGCCGCGAGCGTAGGTAGTGCGTCTTCCCGTGTAGCATGTCATGTGGCTGCAAATAGGCCAGATTGTCTTGAGATTTTCAGTGGGAGCGCTGAGGTCTCTTATCAATTCAGCAGATGGGGTTGGAACACCCTGGAGCCCATTGACCAAATTTATGGAACTGATTTGACTGTTGAAGCCAATCGTGAAAGGATCATTCATTGGATTGAGAAATTCCGTCCTAGATTGGTGGTTGTGGCTTATCCTTGTAAGGTTTGGTCAAATATAAACAATCTGTCATGCACTACACCACAAGCTCGTCGACGTCTACGAGTCCGGAGGCTTAAAGAGAGACCATTCTTGGAGTTTTGTGAAAAAGTTTTTGAAGTTCAGCTGAAAAACGGAGATGATGCATTAGGAGAAAATCCGAAACTTAGTGCGTCATTCCATGAAAAGCCAATCAAAAACATTTTGAACCATCCAAGTGTGCACACGGCGACCGGACATGGATGTCGTTTTGGCATACGTCATGCTGAGTCGAAGAAATTGTTGTTGAAGCCAACTCTTTGGTTTAGCACTTCACCAGAAATTTGTGATCAGTTGGGGTTGGTTTGCAAGAACAAAGAGCATCCTGGTGATCATGAGCATGATGTGTGTTTGGGCGGTAGCAGGATCACAGAGCACGCTGGAAGATACACCAAAAAGATTGCGCAAGCCATACAACGAGGGTATGTGCAAACGTTGAAACGCAAAGAGCCAGGTAGGATCAGGTCCATGCTGAGGAAAATTAGTAATCAGATAAAGGCTAAAGGTCCGAATGAAGGTTTGAGATGGTGTGAGAAGTCACTAAAGAAAGCAATTGAACAGTGGAATGCGGTTTTCGTTGCATCCAGTTCTTGTCAGGAGACACCGACAGCAGTGAACGAGAACCCAGGTGCTGTCGACAGTCAACTGGCAGGGGCAGTGGCATCTTCAGCTGCGTCAGCTGGTGGAGCATTGCATCCGGATGGCATCAAGTTTGACATCCCGAAGGGCAGGAAGCTTAGTGAGCCCATAAGACAGGCGCTGAGACGCGTTCATTGCAACTTGGGGCATCCAAGCAAGGCCGACCTTGAAAGATTTTTGAAGTTAGGAGGTGTCAGAGGCGAAGTTTTGGAAGCTGTTGGATGGATTAGATGCATGACATGTGCCCAGGCAGGCTGTCGGTTGTGTGGCGGTTGAGAGAATAGCTATGGAAGCGGCTTGGGCTAAAAACTCTTTGACTAGAGAACATGGGTGGTCGCCTGTTGCTCTGGTCTTCGGAAGGGAACCAAGGGTCAGTGGTGAGTTGGTCCAAGATGGAAACCCTGTGAGCTATCATTTTGATGTTGGAGATGAAGGTACCGATATAGCGGATCGGATGAGGTATAGGTACCATGCCAAAATGGAGTACATCAAAGTTCAGGCTCGTCATATGATTCAGAAAACTGCTCATAATAGGACCCGCAAGCTCCCCAAAATCGAGGTCGGTAAGATAGTGTTTTTCTTTCGGGATACCCATAAGGCAAAGAAGGCTGGTACAAAGTGGTTGGGGCCGGGGTATGTTGTGGGTGTTCAAGGATCCAATGCATGGGTGACATGTGGTGGTCGTTGTTACCTGGTGGCTGGTGAGCATCTTAGAGAAGCGGTAGGTGATGAAGTCCATTACGGTGACCCTTCTGTTCAGAAAGCCATTGCATTGTTTCGGAAAGTCCCTGATAAGATTACTTTTGAGGATTTGACCCAACAACCTGACCCGAAAGATGAAGATTTTGAGATGAATATTTTTGGTTTGGGCGAAGGTGTTTTCATGAAATCGGAAGATGAGGATCATCAAATGGATAGTCCAGGTGTCAAGGTTCCGGTTGAGGTGGTCAGAGCGGCTAACGGTGGAGTCGGTTGGTACACGGACGGTAGGGGTAATCCTATGTTGGTTAACCATAAGACTTGGGCTTACCGGACCCCTATTCCCAAATATGATGCGGAGAAGTTGCCATATCGAACAACTTGGGCATTGAGGGATCATGCATGGACCAAACTTGAAGACGAAGTATGTTGGCCTTCACTGAAAGACCCTTGTGGAAGCTTGTCCGGTGGTCCAGCAGCTGCGACCGTGACCATTTTCACTGGTAGAACAAGGAAGCAGGAGTGTCTCGACTCAGTCCCTTGGCAAATCAAGAACAAGAAACAGAGAAGTGATTCGCTGAAACCACAAAACGTGTTAATGGTGCAGAAAACGATGAGTAAAAACAAGATGAAAAAGATGCTTGACAAAGAAATCCCGTATGATAAAATTGGAAACGAAGACAAGGCAGCCTTCGATCAGGCAATCCAGAAAGAATGGGATAGTTGGTTGCGATATGAAAGTTGTAAGATTTTGTCTGTTGATGAAAGTCAAGAAGTCGAAAAGCAAAATCCTAGGAGAATTCTGCCGTCACGTTTGGTGTTAAGAAATAAGCATGCAGGGTTAGTTGATGTTCAGGGTAAACCCCTTCCCATGAAGGCAAAAGCACGACTTTGCATTGCTGGGCATTTGTGCCCTGACGCGGCAACCGGAGAGCTCCAAGTGGATTCACCAACTATCGAAAGGATTTCTACCATGGTGTTTTTGAATATGGTGATTTGTAGTGGGTGGTTGGATCATTGGTTCATTGGTGACATTAGTAATGCTTTCTTGCAAGGAGCGCCACTTGAAGGTGAACCCATGTTCATGAGGCAACCAAAACAAGGTCTTCCAGGACTGAAACCAGGTCAGTTGATTCAGTTGGTGAAATCGGTTTACGGTCGTCCGGATGCACCGCGTTCATGGTTTAATGAGTTGTCTCGTATTCTTGTTGAAGAGATTGGATTTGAAAGAAGTCAAATTGATCCTGCGCTTTTCTACTTGAGGGATGGTACTGGTGTTTGTAAAGGGGTGTTGGTTGTTCATGTTGATGATTTGATGGTTGGTGGTGATAAGTCTGATTTCACCAAACAAGCCTTTGAAAGACTTCACAAACGTTTTCCTTTTGGTACTTGGCAAGAGGTTGCCAAGGAAACTTCTGGGGTTACGTATTGCGGGAAAGAAATCAAAGTTGTGGAGTCTTTAGGAGAAAGAATGATTGAACTGTCTCAAAATGGTTTCATTGATGGTAGATTGGACAAGATTGAAATCAAAAGAGAACGCTTGAAGGATTCGAATCGTCATGCCACTGCTGAAGAATTGACGGACTACAGATCTGCTGTCGGTAGCTTGCAATGGTTAAGCACACAATCAAGACCTGATATTGCTTTTGAGGTAAATCAATTGCAGAAAAGAGTCAAAGATTTGAGAGTGTTTGATCTGTTGAGGGCTAACCGTGTGATCAAAGAAGTGGTGGACAATCGGTTCTCGATAAAGTTTCGAAACCTAGGTAAAACGGAGTTGGTCGCTTTTCACGACGCTTCACTTTTCAATTCAGTTGGTGTGGAGATCAACGAACAAGAAGCTGATGATATTTTAATGACTGGAAAAGAGAAGAAACTGGTGTATTCACAAAAGGGAGCTGTTCTTGGTCTGGTGTCGCAAGGTGATATTGATAAAGGTGAACCTGTCAAAATGAACATTCTTGATTGGAGATCAACAACAAACAAACGTGTCATTGAGAGCTCACTTGCTGCAGAAACACATGCAGCAATTCAAGCACACGGACTGTCGAGATTCGTGCAAGCCTTGTTGGCCGAGGCAACCCTGGGCACTGAGGTGGTCTCGTACCTTGACGACGAAGACTGGCAAAGCATAGCACCCTTAAATATGATAACGGATTGTAAGTCAATTTATGATCATGTTAGGAAGGACGGACAACACTTGTCGGAGAAGGGAAATGTTATCCAAGTCATGTTGTTGAGAAAAATGTGCTCCACGAGACCACACACGGGCAAAGCCCGTTTGCTCTGGGTTCCAACTCGAAACCAATTGGCGGACGGTCTAACAAAGACTGGTCGTGGAAAACATATCCGAGAAAACCTTGGAGAAGCGAAGTTCCACGAGGAGGCGGCACCCAGACGAAAATGGTCAACAGCCAAGGATAGTTATGCCAGTGTGAATTGAGCCTTGTTGTCTCAGGCTGTGACCATTTCGTTGACATGTTGCCGAAAGTTTAACCCATAGCGTGTCTTCAGCATTTTGGCCTGTGGGGTAGGCAAAAGGTTTCATGGCGGATTTTGCAGCGTCGTTTTGACCTGTAGTTGGCATAAACAACTACCATGGCTCAGGATGGTTTATACCATCCATAAAAACTTATGTGACTTGGGAGATAGTTTATGAGTGGGTTTACCTCACACCAAAACCATTCCATGGAAATGGTCTTTGTCTCATAATTCACCAAGCTGAGTGGCTAGGGCCCTAGCTCATTTTGTCCGCTCTGATTCACAGATTGCAACAGCGTCTGCACAGCATGGAGGCCCTGAAGTATCAGAGTCGACATCCAAGGTCTCCACCAAACACACATGCAGCTGTGGAAGATAAATGGTGAATTTTTAGATGGTGGATTTCTATATGGTGATTTTTTCATGGTGAATAAGTTAATAAATATGGTGAATACGAATACCGATAAATATGGTCGTTATTCAGCTTCTCTTGCCGAACAAGTGCTCCTGGAAGATGAGCTGATGAAGGACATGTCATATGATTTCATATGGGGGGTTCTTACAATGGATCCCCAAGTCACCATTGCTTCCACTAAACATGGTCTAGTTTTGGATGATTTGGGTAGCCCTATTTTAGGAAACCTCTATATACTATTCCCAGTTTTAAATCACATTCTTTTCATCAAAGGCGAAACCTTGGCGTAACCCAAGACCTCAAGATTATACAAGAAATGGCCAAAGATCATGACAACGGACAACCTCATGAGAACAACATGTGAAAATCCCACACCAGAAAAGACAACCTGCCCGATTTTTTTTCTTGGAGGAGCATCAGATTCTCCCACCGAGGAATTGGTTGATCAGCCTGGTGAATGAGTCCCCTGATTAGGTTATAGTATTTGCAAATAATGTTCATCTCAGCCAGCCAGGGACTGGAAATCATGTTTTTTTTTTAAAAAAAAATATGTTGTCCATGTTTTTTTTCATTTTGATCATCGATGATCATTTATAAGTGGTTTAGAAGTGGCTAACAAAACCCCCCCAAAAAAAAAACACTACCCTCCGGTCAATCATGGCTGGAAAATCCCAAGATTTTTGACTGGAGGTTTAATGCTGGGAAACTCATCATTTCCGAAATGGGGAATGGTCCATTGCCAGAGTGTTTTTATTACTTCCTACAAGGTGATCCCCAGTTAATTTACCCTCTGGTAAACTAACATAACTATGGAAAGTCACCATTTTTAATGGGAAAATCCACTATAAATGGGCCATCTATACCATGGCTATGTAACAAATTACCAGATGGTAAAAGTTGGTTTATAAAATTTAGTTAACTCCATTTCATCACTGGTTGGTGGTTGAGCCACCTACCCCTTTTGAAAAATATGACGAATGGTCAGTTGGGGTGGATGGAACTTCCCAACTGAATGGAAAGTCATAAAGTTCCATGGATCCAAACCACCAACCAGCTATAAACCCGCCATTTCATCACTTCGTTCTCTTCTTCATAACCCCAACACTTCACCAAGTTCTTCGGCTACCCCAACTTGCGCTGGGTCTCGGCCGCCTCCGACCGCGTCAGGGCCAACATGCGCTCCACATGGCCTTGCAGTCTCGCTGGTGCCTGACGTTCGGGGAATGAGCGCTGGAAATCTGCGAAGAATCATTCTCTAATTGGTGGTATACCCACCCCATTCCTATTATAACTATGGATGATTCATTATAATAATCATATTTCATGGACACTTCCTATGATAAATGGATGATTTATGATGACTGGTTGGTGGTATACCTACCCCTCTGAAAAATATGAGTTCGTCAGTTGGGATGATGACATTCCCAACTGAATGGAAAGTCATAAAATTCCATGGTTCCAAACCACCAACCAGATTCTGTATAGTGGGTGTGTCTGAAAATAGGGGATACCGATGCAAAAGCCACCGTGAAGAGCTATTTTTCCGATAAATTTCAGAGGGAAAATAGAGTGAAAATCCAATGGATATAGGATGGGGTCAAGATGGGTCAAGCCCACCTAAAAATTGGGAGTGTTTTTGGATTCATGATTGTCTTACTGGTGCTTAGCAGGGAATGAGGGAATGATCCCAGTCATCACTAGTAATAATCATCCCAGCAACCACCATTCCCATCCATTCCCTACTAAGCACCAATAAGTTATCTTCTGTACAGCATGGTATAGTTTCAAACATGACAGTTGTTGACAAATAATGGAGCCGTTAACCGCTGGAGTCACGTCCCAGCTTTTTGGACCCTGAAGTACTAGTATGTTGTATAGTGGTCAATTGTTTTCACACAAAGGTTGAATATCATCATTTTCAACGTGGGTGATCTATGATTTGTCAAAAAAACAGCATGTCACAAGAGCATGTGACTGCGTGTCTGGTCTGCTCACAGGGTTGTTCGTGTTGAACTGTTGTTTCACCACTTTTTCCTCACTAGGATCCCCAGTCTGTTTTGTAGCCATAAATCATTAAGGGAAAATCGACACCAGGAACCATGGTTTTTATATGTGTTCACCATGAAATAATAGGATCTTCCATGCATTTTCATGTTTTTCAGATCATTTTTTCAGACCATATTAAACTTATTAAACCAATGAAAACCATAAAAATTGAATTAATGTAATTAATGGAGATGAATAATCGGATGGTCCATGAAATAATAGGATGTTCATATATTTGTCCCTTCAAATGAAATCTCCAGGCCGCTCGCCGGTCCACACGGTCCACACGCCTGCAGGTAGAGTTCGTGGAGAGGACCCGTCTCGTTCGTGGCCGCGCTGGGCGGAGCGTCCTGCGCCGTTGCCAAACGTAGCTGAGGAGCCTCTGGTTCTCATAGCTACACCCTATGGATCCAGCCCTTCTTAGGAAGTACGAATGGGGTATGACTTAGAGGACCCAGCCGTACCTTCTCAAACAGTGTTTGGATACACATACTGGAATGGCCCATAAAATTGATGAATATATTTTAATGAACAATATGATGAAGAGTTTGCGAAATGGTCTAGATGGCCCATGAACATAGAGGATGCATGATGATCTACCGAACTGAAAACACGTGATTTTTCATAGAGAGATGATGCTCATTCCAAATAGGCGTTGAAAACAGACTTACCAAAGTTTCAGAGTGCAAACACGAGAGTTTGACTGTGAAATTGTGACTCTGCAAGACATGCCACGCTGGTCAGATATCATACATATATATATAATTATATATATATGATATATGGAATCAAAAACTGGTTGAGCCATGAATTGTACATGTCCTCTATCTGTGCTTCGTACATCCTATAATTTTCGGTTAACAATAATACGATTCGTTTTTGGTTCCCTGGCAATGAAGATACAATGTGAGGCCCCCGTTTACGATAGCTAAGTTGGGGTTCACATAACTCCAATTTCACTATGGTTTATGGTACGCAAATAACTGTAGTTACTGGGGCTTAAATCTAAACCAACTTAGATCACTGGGGGGGGCACATTGTAAGATTGGGATCCTGTTCCCCATCACCAAAAACTGGTTCCGGTGCCGCTGCGACTCACCAGGGGTATGCCCGCCAGGCGAGGATTGCCCACGACACATCAAACACATACCCAATGTGGCCCCCCCCAGTGATGTTAGTTGGTTTAGATTCGCCCCAGTAACTATAGTTATAAGTACCATAAACCATAGTGAAATTGGAGTTATGTTCACCAACTTAGCTATCTAGGGGGCCTCACATTGTATATATATATATACGGTATACGTATATAAGAATAGCTTGATGGAACATTCTGGAACATATACATATAATATATATATATTATATAATAATAATAATAATTATATACTACAGCTATGGAAAATAGCCTCCCGTAATTTTCCGTCGCTATGGATGGGCCATGTACTTTGATGATTTACGTATAAAAACATGTCATGTACTCGATCGCTGACAGCCGCTCCTGAACACATCGACCCTCTTCAAAGACCAGCACACGCGAAAAGAAGTGGATCACCGGCAACAGCCTGCGGGCCAGGCCGAGGGGTGGACCCACCGTTTCGTAAATGTCCCGCGGCCCCGTGGCAAGACATGACAGCTGGGCAGGTTCTGAAATTTGAGCTGAGTAAAACTGCAGGAATCTGAATCCGGCCGAGTTTGTCAAGGGCACAACCAGCAACTGAGTTTGTTTATCGTGCCTACTGAAAGCCGATAAAAGCCTGCAACGGGCATAAGCATATGCATCCTCACTAAGACTCTCCAGCCCGGATATGCCCATATGGGAAGCTGGCAAAAATGTTTGGTTTTGGAGTATCTACCAGATGTTTCATACACAGGTCAACGCATTCGAATAAAACTGATTCTAGGGTTACTACCTAGGGTCCCAGGGTTTTGACTCATAGCCGCATCATGAAAAGTTGTTTTTTGAATGGCAAACACAGTGGTGACCACCAAGGAAGAGCCAGTTCGGGTAGATCATAGCGACTGCATCAACTAGGTTGACTCCATCACAAGCCACGCATTTTTGGGTGAAATGGTTTATGCTTTTCTGTGAAAATCGTGTACCCTCTGGCTATTTAACATAGCTGTGGAAGCCATGGCCCATTTACAGATGATTTTCCAATAAAAACCTCCATTTATAAGGGATTTTCCATGGCTATGTTAAATAACCAGATGGTACCCCCGAAAATTTCATCACAATTCCAAGACTCCAAGCCGCTGCCGCCTGTGGGTCACGGTGAGCATGGTTGCATGAGCGAGTTGCACCTTGAGCATGTGATGCAAAGGCGTCACCTGGAATCGATGCGACGCAAGCCAGCCTGACCATGATGAAGGGCGCGTTACCTCCAAAATGCGTTCTTGAAGTTATGACTAAAATTGCTAGCCCCTCACGTTTATAAACTGCGGTTATGTTAACATTCTATCAAGTGATGAGGTAAACATAGGTAAACCCAATTAGCAATAAACCATCCCCAATTGAGAAACTCGGTATACCCCTAATTGCGATGGTTTACTGTTGGCTCCTAGAAGCTGGTTTGGATCTAATCCATTTGAGCCCGGTGTTCTTTCGTAAGGTAAACGTTTAATAGCTATTGAACATGGCCATTTGTAGCTGATTTATATATCACAAATAATGATGTTCCATGATGTTCCATAGTTATGTTAGTTTATCGGAGGGTAAATCTCATGTTTCTTGGTCGAGTGATCTTGAGGCAAAGTTCCAGCATATATATATACATTGTATATATATATTTGGAAAACCCACCACAAATAAATAAATATATAGATATAAATAAATATACCATGTTTTTCATATCTATATGTTAATGATTGTTAATGTTGGTTTTCCCCAGGGTTTTTCATGCCCGGTTTCTGATGATGAATCCGCCATATTTTCCCATTTTCCCAACGTTTGAAACCGTGATACTCTTGGTAAACATCCCAAGTCCAGCTGCTTACCCTCTGGTAAACTAACATAACTATGGAAAATCACAATTTTTAATGGGAAAATACACTATAAATGGCCATTTTCAATAGCTATGTTAGTTTACCAGAGGGTAGCTCAATCAAATCATGGTCTTTCATGTTGTTCTTTATGTGTTTGTTTTTTCCATGGTAAAGTATGGTAAAGCCTTCATCGTCCTGGTCAGTCTCCCCCAAAATTATGGCCGCTCAAATCAGGTCGCCTCGTTCTGCTCCATGGCGGCGAAGGGCTGGCAGATGGGTCAGGGGGGAAAAACAATGGGTTTCAGCTGGTTCATAACTAGGCCAACTAGGTTTTTTCTTAGACATCTATCTATCCATCAATATAGTTAGATGCTCAATGTATGGAATATTTAACTACATTTACCCTAAAAATGACCCAGTTTTGTAGGTACATAATCCAGCACCATGGTTCGCATCTGGGTATAGTTCGATGAGTTGGAAAAAAATTGACTTGACCACAAGATCAACAGTTACGCCGTTTTTTTAAGCCAACTCACTGGATGTTTTTCGCTATCGATTCGTTAAAAAAATCCCCGTGAAAATTGGAGATTGTCCACCACAAACAAGAATTATATCACTCCCTATGGATCCAGCCGTACCTTCCTAGGAAGTGTTTGGGGTATGATGACTAGGAGGTTAAGTACCTTCTGAGACAGTGTTTGGATCCATAGGGACTTTTAAGATCTTTTAAGTACACTTAGCGGCTATCACTCCTTTCCGGCTGAGACTTCGAGCTTCGACAGTTCTTGAACTTGACAAGTTCCATGCATCATTTCTGAGCTCTCCTGCCTGTGTTTGCAGAAACCCTCGATTTTGCTTAGCAAAAAATCATGTTGTGACGTCGTGTTGTGGCCCTATCATTCCAAGTAGAATGCAAAAGTCGCTGTTGAAACTTAGCATGCAAACACTGCAAACCACTTCAGAAGCGCTTAGCATCTGAAAGTAACCTCAGTAATCCCAAAGTCCTCGAAGTATGCATGACCAATAAAGTTGATTCTGTTGCAAACTATAGTAACTATAAGTTATAATGTTTTGTATACCCCAAATCTTCTAAAAACCACTATGCAAACTATACTAACCACAAAAGGTAAACTATGGAAACTAATTCTAAAGTTTTACTTTGCTTAAAAATAGTGCATCACGCTAAACTTCTAGTAAAACTATACTGTAAAATGGTGAACTATAGTTAAAAAACCAAGGAAAACATAGATAAACAATAGTGAATCATAGTAAAAATAGTGAACCCCTATGGATCCAGCCGTACCTTCCTAGGAAGTGTTTGGGGTATGATGACTAGGGGGTTAAGTACCTTCTGAGACAGTGTTTGGATCCATAGGGACTTTTAAGATCTTTTAAGTACACTTAGCGGCTATCACTCCTTTCCGGCTGAGACTTCAAGCTTCGACAGTTCTTGAACTTGACAAGTTCCATGCATCATTTCTGAGCTCTCCTGCCTGTGTTTGCAGAAACCCTCGATTTTGTTATTTTTTGCTTAGCAAAAAATCATGTTGTGACGTCGTGTTGTGACCCTATCATTCCAAGTAGAACGCAAAAGTCGCTGTTGAAACTTAGCATGCAAACACTGCAAACCACTTCAGAAGTAATTAGCATCTGAAAGTAACCTCAGTCCCAAAGTCCTCGAAGTATGCATGACCAATAAAGTTGATTCTGTTGCAAACTATAGCAACTATAAGTTATATGTTTTGTATACCCCAAATCTTCTAAAAACCACTATGCAAACTATACTAACCACAAAAGGTAAACTATGGAAACTATTTCTAAAGCTTTACTTTGCTTAAAAATAGTGAATCACGCTAAACTATGGAAACTCATTCTAGTAAAACTATACTGTAAAATGGTGAACTATAGTAAAAAAACAAGGAAAACATAGATAAACTTAATAGTGAACCATAGTAAAAATAGTGAACCCCTATGGATCCAGCCGTACCTTCTTAGGAAGTGTTTGGGGTATGATTTTGGGGCTTAAATATGGTTTAGTACCTTCTCAGACAGTGGCCATGGATCTTTCACCGCCTCATCCAAGATCACCAGCTGTGCTTTGTGGCGCCGCAGTAAGAGGCGGGCGAGGACCAGCAGCCTCGAGATCGATAAGAATTGTTGAAGAACGGCAGACCAATACTGTGCTATCATTTATATGTAAATATTCCGTTTATATTGGCTATGTAGTATGTATTTATTTAAATATATATATATATATCATCTATTCATTGTTTATCAATTTCATTTGTTCAAATACTGCTTACCCCTCAAACATGAGTGTTTTAACCAATTAACAGAGTACTTCAAGTATCTTTGAGCCAAGGAACGTGCTACAGAAATGTGGTTAATACACGCACATTATTATAAATTAAGTTGATATACAGCTATACAATCAAGCAACTGGTTATGTTTGGTCATGTTTGGCCAGTTTTCAAAGAAACAAATGAGTACATATGCAGCTGTCAGATACAGAAAATTGATGAACATTGAAGAAATTGGATGCGAATATGTGCGAATGGTTCCGTCGAGATAATTTCAGAAAACAGTGCAACTCTGCAACCAACATACCCTCTGGTAAACATACAAAAAGCGATGGAAAATCACCATTTTTAATGGGAAAATCCACTATAAATGGCCATTTTCAATAGCTATGTTAAATTACCAGAGGGTACTCTTTCAAGTAAACAAAATGATATTCTAAAACTTCCACAATCCACCCTCTTGAAATCCATCATGCAAACCTGAAACATGCCACTTGTTAAAAAAGGAACGCATTATCATAAGCTTGGGAAACTCTTGGTAGCTCTTTGGCGCCCATAGATCCTTAATTTCCTATCTAAGTGGTTCCAGCAAACTATAGACTATTATGTACTATAGACTATTATGTACTTAATATATATATATATATACATATATGTTTTTTCTGCTACCAGTACCCATCACTCCTAAGGGGTGTTCTTCCCAACAGGCAACCATCGGTTCATTGGCGTCAACTTGCATAGCAAAGCTTGGTCCATGTGAAGCTTAAAGCCATTGGCTTAAACTACATAAATAGTGGGATATTAAGGGGATTTAACGGATGATTAATGGATGATTAATGGATGATTTTCATGGATGATTTTCATGGATTCTTGATGGATTATGAATGGATTATGAATGGGATTTATTGAAACATAAATCCCTATGGATCCAGCCGTAGCTTCTGAAAGGAAGTGTGACTGGGGTATGATGACGTGACTCGGGGGTTAGCCGTACCTTCTGAGACAGTGGCCATGGATCCATAGGGAGAGTATACATATATATATATATATATTTATATGATCTTCCTTGATTTTTCCATGAAAAACACCTCCATTTATAGATGATATATGATCTGGGTAAATGAAATAATATTGAACACTAACCTGAATAGTTCGGCTGGGAATGATTCCTCTATAAAAACCATGATTCCAGTGACGTCGCGACGTGAGGTTGTGATCAAATTTACCCATATATATATATATATATACTACATATTCATATAGTTTCTATTCCTTTCAAATATGTCCCAAGATTTCTCAGAATTTACTCCGTACCAAAATATACCGAGGTGTCTGAAAATGAGGTATCCCCAAATTTGATGATTACTCACTATATGTGTTATGTTTTCAAGTGGTTGTTTGGGGTATACCATGTTCTGTCCACGTCCGCCGCCTTCGTTCACTTCCAGTCAGCTGAAGCTTCCTGTCGCTGTGAAACAAATAAGAAGTGGAAAATGGGCAGGAAACCAGTGGATACCAGTGGTATAGAATCAGAATTAAAACATGTAATGATCTTTCAAACTAGCCATTCCTCAGCTTCTGTGTTTTTGCAAAATTCAACGCAAATAGGAACAACACCTAATGACCTTGCCTAGTTGTCACTAGGCGACACTCTTCATTCTTCATTGTTACACACATCTTGTCTACTTTGCAGCAGGCAATTGCTGGCAATTCTTTGTCCCACTTCCTGTCAGCCCATGAACGATTGAATATGTTGTTCTGTTTGCCCTTGGTAACTATTAGTTTGTGGCTCTGCAACTGTAAAGCGGTCATTGACAGTATTCATGCATGTGCGTATCCTTGTGCCTCTACCTATCATAAAGAAATTTTGACCTCAAATGATAGACCTGGTTGGATATGGCACACAGAATAGAGAAGGCAACCAATCCTCAAATAATATCTGCTTTATCACAATACATTATGTATATTGCTGTTCCGTACTAGACATAGGTATCATATATATATATATGTATATATATATATATATTATATATATATTCTATATATATATATATTATATATATGTATTATATATATGCCGCCATTCTTTGAGGATGATCCTACAAATCGTAACTGCTTACTTGGTGGCTCATCCCACGGCTCGTAAGTGGCTTATAGCCCCAGTTATAAATGGGATAAGTAGGGTTAATCCACTTATGGGATGAACTAACCCACTTATTTGGAATTAAAATGAATGAAAAGGAATGTTCTAGCTGGTTGGTGGTTTTAACCATCTTGAAAAATATGAGTCAATGGGAAAAGATATCCCATATGTTTTATGGAACATAAAATTCATGTTTGAAACCACCAACCAGCTACAATGTGGCCCCCCCCCAGTGATGTTAGTTGGTTTAGATTCGCCCCAGTAACTATAGTTATTTGCGTACCATAAACCATAGTGAAATTGGAGTTATGTGAACCCCAACTTAGCTATCGTAAACGGGGGCCTCACATTGTAGGAGTAACCAGATATCCCATTAATATCCCATTAATATCCCCATTAATATCCCCATTAATATCCCCATTTATTCCTTACGAAATTCATGTTTCCGGAGTGTCCCTCTCGAAACGACAATTTTTTTCCGACAACTCCCCCGGCCTCGACGAACTGCAGCGGCTCGCGGGCGATTCGCTGCCACGGCCTGAAATTTGGATGGCGCTTTCGTCTGCAAAGATATGGAGAACGTGTGGAGAAAAAAATGGACTACCCTAAAAGATTTCATGGATATGATATGGATATGGATATGGATATGTTTTGAAAAAAACAATTTTTGTAGGGTCCCCTGATGAATTTTAAGGGTATTAGTATAGTATAACATGGGATGGCTTGTTGCTCCTAGTCTGGATAAGCATTGGATAATCATGCAGTAATGGTGATAGTAGATCAGATCAAAGTTCACCACTCAATTCCGAGTCCTGGTCCCTCCAATGCAAGATCCTGGGGTCTTAAAAATGAAGGGTTGTTACAACCCTTGATTAATGAGGCTTTGTAATACGTGATGGATACGGTATTAGTATGGTCACCAATTTTGTGGGTATTAGTATGCCAGGTTAACCCAGGTTATTCCAAATTCATCAAATAGATCAATGTAGAGGTATTTTGTATTGGCTGCATGTACCAAAAACACGTGTCAGACTTACCCTCTGGTAAATTAACATAGACCCTTAGACCCTAAAAATCACCAATTGTTAATGGAAACTAATCTTCCAACCCCTATCTGCCAGGGTCTATGTTAATTTACCAGAGGGTAATAAGGATGAGTTGTCCAACTGTAAGTGGCACAATGCAAAGAAGAATAACGATTTTTCGGCAGAAGATGTAGATTGGGAATCATTGGGAGTCAGGTACCACATCGTCAACTAGCTATATATTACCCATAGGATCCATGTATGCTATATATGGTAACATTTACCATCAATATACCCCAAATGTTAGCATATATATATATACCATACATGGATCCTATGGGTTATGTAAATTACATTCCTGATGTTTGCATCTTCGATGCAAATATGGCCTGAAACATAGTTCATAAGTTCCTTGCGCGTCGCAACATTCTTTGAAACTCCTCTTGAGCAAAGGGAGCTGAAATGCAAGTCACATCTCAAACATCCAGAATAGTCCCCTCGTGTAATCAAACATTGCTTGCTGGACAATTCCTCATGAACGGAGGTTTTAATGGGACAAACATCGAACTAAATGGGAGATGTGATTTGTCAGGTAGAAGCTGGCCAGGAATTTATGAACGCCCCTCGTTGAGTTTGATGGTTTTTCCCCATTTGGAGGTGTCCTAAAATAGTACCCCCAGTTCTCATCCATTTTAGACTGGGATTTTCCATGAAATAAACCATCCAGCCCACCTGGCGGCAACTCATCGGAGGTGTATCCAGATTGGCGCTCCTCGAGTTGGTCACTGGGTCACTGATCCATCAATTTTTCTGGAAAGATTTTGAACAACAAGGAAGATCTTTGAGACCACCAGAAAACTCATAAGTCTGTTTTGTTTTTGTGGTTTCAAGCCATCCCAAAACTGTCATAGGGGTTTCAAATACAATGATTCCAAAGATATAATATATAGCTAAACATAAATGATATAAATGTGAAACCACCCCTCAGAAAACTGATAAGTGGTGGATCGGAATTTTGAACCATGGGATTCCTTATGAAAAGCGCCCTTCATATGGAAGGCTGCCTGGATCCCCTGGTTTGCCTACCAAATTGATGCATAACTTGGATGATTTTGGAAATCCCCCATGCTCCCCATTCTAGGAAAGCCTGAAATCTGGGGCATCTGGAGGAAACCCACGGAAGCTCCTCGGCAATTCGCCCCAAAGATGCTGCATTACCTTGGCGAAACTATGGCGACCCCAAGACAGAGATATGGCGAAAAACATGGGGGAGATAACCCAGACCTCCGAAACGGGAGATGACATATTATATAAATCTACATTCTAAATGCGTGTAAGTGGGGATATCAATGAGCAGTTGGGGTATGTTTTAAGCATGTGGTCCACACAAATCAAGGGATAGTGATGATGAATATGGATAACCTGTGGGAATCTGGAGATCCCGTTTTGTGACCTAGCCAAACAAGTATGTTTCAATCATATTCAAATATAAGATGCCAATGACCCACTGGAGTTGTCATGATCAGACCGGAGAACTGAGTAACTAGAGACGTGCTGCCTGTTTAACTTGCAACTCAAACAATGACAACAACGAAAAAACAATTTAGCAAAACCTACAATGTGAGGCCCCCTAGATAGCTAAGTTGGTTTATAACTCCAATAACTATATGGTTTGTGGTACTTATATCTACAGTTGCTGGGGCTTATAAACCAACTTATAACTGGGGGGGGGCCACATTGCATCAAAGTGTTTTCATCAATCCGGAACCAAAGCTGAAATGAATTACTGATTCCTATCATGCTGTTGGTGCCCATTCAAAATCAAGCCGAAACGTGAAGCTTTGCATTGCTTGAAGAACAAATGCATACTATGTATATAAAGTATCTTATATGTATATACACAATTATATACAGAATTATATATATATATAGATATATACAGCCCATGTTTGGATGAACAGATTATCTTCTGCCGTAGCTCTTCTCCTTGGATTCATGGATTGGTGGCCAACTCTAAAATTGTTGGTGTTTCCTGAAAACAACAACTACCCCCTGGTAAACTAACATAGCTATGGAAGATCACTATTTTTAATGGGTCAATCCACTACAAATGGCCACTTTCAATAGCTATGTTAGTTTACCAGAGGGTAAAACATGCCCTAAAAATCCCCAAAACAATCCTAGGATTTTATATCCCCCCTATCTTCTCTCCTTGAAGAAACCGAAGAAACCAAGCAAATCGCCGGCCAAAGGCACGACGAAGTTGCGGTGAAGCGTCTGGAACCTGGCACTATACCCTATGGATCCATGGCCACTGTCTGAGAAGGTACGGCTAAATCATACACTAGTCGTACTTCCTAAGAAGGCACTTGGATCCAAGGGATAGATTCACAAAACTAATTATGGATATAATACATATATATATATAATTACATATATGTAGAATCTACAATAACAATGAACTATGTATAGATTATTGCGACTTATTATGGATGCTTATTGCTCCTTACGAATTATCTTAAGCTATGGATTCTCTCAATCTATCATATATGGATTCTCATAAATCATTATAGATTGAGGGATGTTTGCCTGGATCTCGGATTTCAAATTGTCTATATCGATATCTATGCCAATATAATTATCTATTCTAGATGAGTTATATCTATATTCTATCTATGTATTTAATCGATACAAATGACCCTGGATTTGCTCAAGGGGTTCCGACACAAATCAAAAACACAACCGGATTCCCTGACGGCCCCGAAGAATTAGATGACCACATTGGGGATCAAAAAAAACATCAGCAATGCAATTCCATGCAAATGCATTACACTTTGGTCACTACAAGCGTGTCAAATCCAATCTTTCCCAGAGTAAACTCCAAGCGTTCATGGTAAACCACCGATCGATCGCTTGTGCAGTACTTGGAGAGGATCCACGAATCGTAGGTGGTTGAAAAGCCTAGTTAGGAAGTCCTGGGTCCCCGTGGGTTATCCAAAAAAACGTGGTTTATAAATATGGTAATTGACAACTTGCTACTTGTAACCCATATTTATAAAACATTAAAACAGTAATAAGTAATAACCCATACTTAGAATCCCATGGAGGATTAGTGCCATATGTGTAAGGTTATATAGGGCTATAAACGATGATATTACTACAAGTCGTGAGGCCCCCGTTTACGATAGCTAAGTTGGTGAACATAGCTCCAATAACTATGGTTTATGGTATATATACTTATAACTATAGTTACTGGGGCTTATAAACCAAAAACCAACATATAACGGGGGGGGCCACATTGTATGTAAATGGGTTATTATCCTCCAAGTACTGCACCTGCTTCAGGGCCCCGCACCTTCGCTGCACGGTCCGGTTCCATATCCAAGTCCAGTTCCACATCTAAGCCACACCTGGGCAGTCAGCAACCCGAGAGAATGACAAATGTAGAGATCAACAGCAACATGCAAGGTGGTGCCCCATAGTTAGCTACGTTGGTTTATAATTCCAATAACTATAGTTTATAGTAGATATATCTATACTATTCCTATGTTTTTTTTCAACCAAAGTTCACATAACTTGGGGGGCACCACCTTGTTTTGAATGACGGGATGGGTTTGTCAACCACCAGGTCTCAGCCATGGATTTATGACGCCATTTTCAGCAGGGAAATTGGCTACCCTATGTTCAGACAAAAGTCTGCGTGTGTAGTCTGAAGATTTTTGTTGGGACTTCATATCTAAAGATCTGATAAAACATCGATGTTGCAATATTAGGTATTTGTAGGTCACACATGTCAATTTATATCTGTAGCCCAGCCAAATCGAACAACAAGAGCTGAGGTTATGGTGGAGATGCAGGCAAACTCCGCCCTACTCCCGGGGCCCGGGCTGATACTCGCGCTCATCCCCATCTGTGGCGAAAAACATGGGGGTTCGCCCATTGGAAAGTCATTGGGTCATGATGGGAACAAGAATTGTGTGTAGAAACAGAATACAATCAGCAGGAATCAACAACAATTTGGCTTCAACAACAACAAAAAGCCAACAAAATAGCTTATTTTGTGCTCAGGGCAGGAATAAACAACGACTTTTTGTTGGGTAAAAGACAGTGGTTTTGATCCAGCGTGCCAGTGATGTGCCATGTTTGGTCGAAATATGTTGCAATGCTTCACTAAAATCCAACAGAAACATAGATCTAACATTATAATATTGAAACAGGTGGGTAAACATAGATCACATAATGTTAAAATATAATATTATTATAATAGTGAAACATAGATAAACATGAATCAATAAACTTTTTTTTTTTTGTAAACATAGATGAGCCATCTTCTGAAACATTCCCCTTCCTAACCATTTTTTTAGTCTGGTCGTTGGACGTTGTGTCGTCATTCCGCGTTTCGGTGCCTGCCGAGGATGGAGAAGGAAATGGCGAAGCCTCAGTAGAACTGCAGTTTCGCATCTTGGGTTCAAGAGAAATTCACCAGTTCAGCGATTAATCATAGATATATCTACAATGTGAGGCCCCCGTTTACGATAGCTAAGTTGGTGAACATAACTCCAATAACTATGGTTTGTGGTACTTATATCTATAGTTACTGGGGCGAATCTAAACCAACTTATAACTGGGGGGGCACATTGTACCACTAATGTCCATTGATATTGTAATAAGTGTTCTGCAAGATATACCTGATATAGCTTAATCAATATTGAATAGCATATTGGTGATACAATCACCAATAAAAACTATATAGTTGTACTAGCTACCCTCAGGTGACTCAGGTGTCATGAAACATAGTATTCATGGAAGTTTAAGGGTACTTCGATGCACGCATATATCCAAATCCATGATTATTGCAGGTTTCATTCATATTTCAAATGGTTTTATACTGGCATCATAAGTAAAAAAAACAACAAACGACCCAGCTAGTGTACAAGTATGTGTCAAAACCCGATCAGTCCCCTTCTGTTCCCACCAAAATGGCTGGTATTTATGGATGACCATTTCCCCAAAAATGGTATGTCACGATCAATCTCCATATGCCAAGGTGGGGCCCTCTAGTTTCAAAACCCAACTAGATCTTTTTTATACCATAATAAATAGCCTTAAACGTTATTCTACATTATAAGCCAACTTAATCTGGTCGGTGGTTGACCTACCCCTCTGAAAAATATGAAAGTCAGTTGGGATGATTCTTCCCAAGGTATGGAAAAATAAAATTCATGTTCCAAACCACCAACCAGTACATAGTTGTCACATAATGATCCATCATTATCCCACTACTATCCCATATTAATCGCCACCACGGCTGTTCCAAACCACCAACCAGTACCCTCTGGTAAACTAACATAGCTATTGAACATGGCCATTTATAGTGGATTTACCCATCAAAAATTGTTATTTTCCATAGCTATGTTACGAGTAGTTTACCAGAGGGTAATTATTTTGGGGCTAAAAAAACCTCAAAAGGCCAAAAAAAAACAATACCATGGGGATTCCCACCTCTGCGCTGTGTCTTCGCAGGCGCGGCTCCAAGCCAACGAGTCGCAAGGCCTAGCCGAACCATGGTTGGTTTGGGGGCCGATTTAATGAGATTTCATGGGGATTCTATCGGGTTTAATGGGATTTCATGGGGATTTAATGGGATTTAATGGAATTGCATGAGTTCGACAAGTTGACAAACATCACTTGGTTAATTGTTGAGCACTGTTGGGTGCGGGATATACCTGTAACTTTCTGATCAACTAATTAAATCACAGAGATCTCTCAGAGGTAACTGGAAGGCTTCGGGATTTTCGGATTCAACAGGATGAATCCAACAATCGGGATGAAACATACATTGCCAATCTTAGATACCCTGCAAAAAAATAAATGTAGATATTCCCATTAATACCAAAAGACTAGTTAGGATTAGTTTGTATCCATGTAAGATTGACCTAGCATAATGGAATCTGGTGAGAAAGTTTGTGTTTTTTTTTTTAATCTGTTGGGGGGCCAACAGATAGTCATCAGATGACAGATCTATGGATTGACTATGAATATCACAACTCACGGACTTAAATATTATTTTGTTGAAAACAATATGAAATTATGTATATATATATAATTGTATAAGAATAATAATAATAATAGTAATAGTAATAATCATAATAGTGATAGTAATAATAATAATAGTAATAGTAATAATTATATATATATATAACAGTACACTGAAATAATACATGGTATAAAGTTGGAATTGTTCTGCCAGGTTCAGCCCGCAGCTGACAAAACTGGCCTCCCACAGAAAGGAGTCATCCTGCCACGGATCCGAAGTAGGTTTCGCAACAACCCAGGGATCCAATGTGGACATTGCCCCTACATACTTCGCCAATTGAAAAAGGGAGTTTACCAAGTGGCCATCCCAATATCACCAGAAATGGCTTCGAACATATGTATATATATATATATGTATATAGTGATATAGTGTAGATATATACATTCATACAATGTGAGGCCCCCGTTTACGATAGCTAAGTTGGTGAACATAACTCCAATAACTATGGTTTGTGGTACTTATATCTATAGTTACTGGGGCTTATAAACCAACTTATAACTGGGGGGGCCACATTGTATATATATATATATATGTATATATGTATATATATATATATGTATATATATATATATTTATACAGTATATATATATATAACTATATATGTTGTATAAGCCCTCCATAGTTGGAGGTTTGCGGCGGTTTACCACATTGGGTGTCCAATTCCTTTAGGCCTCGCCAGGGGGCCGCCGTCATAGCATCTACTTGGGATGAACAAATTTTGGTGATCTACAAATGGGTGTCGGTAGTATGATGGAGAAATGGTCTCTAGGCTAACTCTTGGTCAGGCTGGATGTGATCCTCAATTGGATGAGTAAGAAAACAACCCACTCATAGCTGCATGTCCCTCAATTTGTGCATCTTGGCAAGCAATGAGATATCTGTGGGGTTTGGGGAATATAATCCCTCCCCCTAGTGTTAAACGCCCTCCTTGGTTTAGTACAGGACTAAACATATTTGCGACCAGTTAGGGGGTGGTTCATATTTAGGGAGAATGGACTAAGAACATTTCGACTTTCATGTGCCTTGAGTCTGAGTGACTTTTGCTAGGTTCCCGGCAGCTCAGATTTTTTTTCCCCACCTGCCAGGTGAGGGTTGTTAGATTTTATGTCAGTTGCCTCCTCCTCCTCCTCCTGCTCCTCCTGCTCCTCCTCCTCCTCCTGCTCCTCCTCCTCCTCCGCCTCCTCCTGCCTCGTCCTCCTCCTCCTCGTCCTCCTTGTCATCCTTGTCGTCCTTGCTCAACTGCGACCCGCGATCCACAGTGTTCTCTGCCGGACCTCAACCACGACCACCCACGCCCAGTGTTCCCTGCCGGACCTCAACCACGACCATCCACGCCCAGTGTTCCCTGCCGGACCTCAACCACGACCATCCGCGCCCAGTGTTCCCTGCCGGACCTCAACCACGACCATCCGCGCCCAGTGTTCCCTGCCGGACCTCAACCACGACCATCCACGCCCAGTGTTCCCTGCCGGACCTCAACCACGACCATCCCCGCCCAGTGTTCCCTGCCGGACCTCAACCACGACCATCCACGCCCAGTGTTCCCTGCCGGACCTCATGTAGGAAGATATGGGACAAAGAATTTGCAGAAGAAAGTTAGAAAGAATGTCAGAAAGAATGTCAGAAGATATGCCAGAAGATATGCCAGATAGAATGCCAAATAGAATGCCAGATAGAATGCCAGAAGATATGTCAAAATATATGCCAGAAGATATGCCAGATAGAATGCCAGATAGAATGCCAGATTATATGCCAGAAGATATGCCAGATAGAATTCCAGATAGAATGCCAGAAGATTTGCCAGAAGATATGCCAGATAGAATGCCAGAAGATATGCCAGATAGATATGTCAGAAGATATGCCAGAAGATATGCCAGAAGATATGCCAGAAGATATGTCAGAATATATGCCAGAAGATATGTCAGATAGAATGCCAGAAGATATGTCAGAATATATGCCAGAAGATATGCCAGATTGAATGCCAGAAGATATGTCAGATAGAGTGCCAGAAGGTATGCCAGATAGAATGCCAGAAGATTTGCCAGATAGAATGCCAGAAGATATGCCAGATCATATGCCAGAAGATATGCCAGATAGAATGCCAAATAGAATGTCAGAAGATATGTCAGATAGAATGCCAGAAGATTTGCCAGTAAGAAAATGTATAAATGTCATGGTGGGGATCACACGAAGTAAAGTATTTTTTTTTTTCGGACCCCTGATCCCAGGTATGTTTTTTTTACTCCAACATCAGGCGCTAACAGTTCCAAATGTCTTGGGCGAGGATGACCCATTCTGGCTGCCGGAGGCAACTCACCCTCAAACCACTCTGATTACCTATCTCAAAGACACTTGAAAGGCTGTAGTTTTCTTAAACCATCCATTTTTTAAGCCTTGAACTTTCTTCAAGGAGGTTCTAAGCCTTCTTGTAGTTCGATCAAGGGCTTCTTTCAACACATGTTGCTTCTTCAAGGGCACAATCAAATGAGTCTGGGTTAAAGTTTGATTCTTAACAGATCGAATGCTTGAGACTGAACATATTGATCAAGAGTTGCAGAGCTGAGGGGCATACTTTTTTGTTGTCCGATCAATTTTGCTGTGCCTTCACTTGAGATAGCTTCTTCGACATCTGCTATTTCAACCCCATGCTTTTCTTGAATCAACCCACCATATGGCTTTGTCATGATTTGTCTGAAAAGAGGGTGCCCCACAGTCCCCTGGTTTTATCCCTATGTTTCCAACTACAAGACCCATTGGGTATACCGTATACATCCATATGGAGGCTTCCTGAAATGGCGGTACCCCTAAATCATCCATTTATAGACATTTATAGACGTGATTATCAATTATAAACCAATCTTTTTTTGGAGATCCCCCCAATTTAGGAAACCCCCAGGTTACCCCGACTGTGGGTATGGGTCAAGTCATTCGGTGCCCAATCATGGCATGGTCCTGGCCCATTTCGCCCTGGCGTCGACATTGGACCGGGCATGACAGGCTTTCCTAAAATGGGATTATCCCAATAGCTGGATGGTTTATTTCATGGAAAATCCGAACATATATTATGGATGATAACTGGGTGTACCCCTATGACTCAGGAAACCTCCATATGGATAGGTCTGACCTCTATAGATTCTGAAAAAAATGTCCGACCATTACAGGGTGATTTGGTCTCACTCTTCATGTGACCAACAAAAGCCTCGAACTGCTGAGTCCAAAATATCCTCATGAGCTGAGAGGCTCCATTGTAGCTGGTGTACATAGCCAACATCGCCATGGAAAATGGCCCATAGAAATAGATTACTTGCCGGTAAAAGAATGTGACATTGCTGAGTGAAATTACCAGAGGGTATTGAGGGTATTGGATACAAAATGAGGTCCAACGAGTTCATTACAACCAGCCTAAAGAATCCATCTGAGATCATTTCCAGTAGCCACTATCTTTGTCAGTATGTAAAAACAGTTCGAAAAAAAAAAAAGCATTAAATTGCTGGGATTGAGACTTATCCAAGCACTCCTTCTCGCTTTTTAAGTTGGAATCCTTTTATAATTTTGGCTTCGAAAAACATACAATGTGAGGCCCCCTAGATAGCTAAGTTGGTGAACATAACTCCAATAACTATGGTTTGTGGTACTTATATCTATAGTTACTGGGGCTTATAAACCAGCTTAAAACTGGGGGGGGCCACATTGTACCAAATTCAGCATTTTTTTCGTCAACTCACGCGATGGTAGCCTCTGATTTTTCCCTCTTGAAATGGCCGGTTGAGTTAGAGGATTTCCAAGCCATGGCCATGAGCAAACAGGAGAAAAAACATCTCCACTGATACTCCAGTAACGGTTGTGCTATACCCCCAAAGTTGATGCTTGGCCAGCACTATCCTACTAACATCTGGCAAGAACCTTAGATATCTGGCAAGAAAATATCTAATTTTTAGCTGGTGAATGGACGAAATGTAGCATTGGAAACGCAAAAGATGAAGTTGTACTAGATTGTAGCAATCATCTATATAACCAGTTGGCTGACCCCTCAGGTGAGACCATTTTTGGTGGATAAATTCACCATTTTCCCACCTCCAAGCCGCGCAACAAGCAGCACCTCGGGGTCCAGATTGCGCCGAACACTGCCTGCCAGCAGAAGAGGCCTCAGCGAAACGAGAGCTTCGATTTGAAGGATTTCGCAGGCGAACTGGGTGGAACAAGGTGGTGACCCCCAGGGATAAGCTGATTTACACATCCATATAAATCATATAAATCCATTTACTGGTTGGTGGTTGACCTACCCCTCTGAAAAAATATGAAAGTCAGTTGGGATTATTATTCCCAATATATGGAAAAATAAAAGGTGTTCCAAACACCCAACCAGCATATAAATCATATAATTCCATATAATTATACATATACATATCCCATAGTAAACCCTACTGAAGCTACTTTGCAAACCAACTTCGCAAACCGTTTTTTTGGGGCACCACCTTGGCTACGGAAAAGGAATCATATCACCAACAAATGGGATAGCCCAGTAGAAACAGTGGAAAATAGGTGTATCTGTTTATATTATAATATTTCACTAACCTGAATAGTTCGGCCACTCATCTTCCCTTTCCCGGCCCATGCCCTGCCCGACTGAATAGTTCGGCCATTTGGGGATGATTTCCCTTATTCACCATGATTCCAGTGAGAGAGAACAGTGAGGTCGTTACAATTTACCCAGATGTATCCATGTTTGTTGTCATAGTTTTTTCCAGTGCAGGCTGTATCCTTTGAACTCATTGGTTTATTTATTAGAACTGGTGAAGTATTTACTTGCATATCTTGGACTTGTGCCATACAGTACCAAGTAAAACAAAAAACAAAACACAAGTGTACTGCCTTTCAAATCTTCGCTCGAAAAAATAGTTATTGGTGTTCTTCTCCATTTTGCATATTATCTGCACCCGCACCTTTCGGTAAATACCAACTATAAGACCCTCCAAGTACCTACAAAAAACCAGCTTTTGCACTCCGCTCAACTCCTCTGGCAGTCACACCTGCAGATCCCAGGAATCGCAAGTAAAAACCAGATCCCCAGAAACTTACATACTGTACAATGTGAGGCCCCCGTTCGATAGCTAAGTTGGTTTATAACTCCAATAACTATGGTTTGTGGTACTTATATCTATAGTTACTGGGGCTTATAAACCAACTTATAACTGGGGGGGGCCACATTGTATGAATTTCTGGGTAAATTTATAATTATAGGATTTCACCAACCTGAATAGTTCGGCCATTTGGGGGTGATTTCCCTTATTAACCATGATTCCAGTGAGGGAGAACAGTGAGGTCGTTATAATTTGCCAAGATTAATCTATATCTTATATGTACTTTATAAACATTGAAATATCAGCAGTTAGACAGATGGATGAATAAATGTTATGGTACCCCCAAAAGATGTTTTTTCTAGCATGCAGTTTCGATGATGTGTCCTCCCAAGAAAAAGGTCTCCAACTTTTCGGCATCCATTTTGTTCTATTTGGGGCTTATCTACATACCCTCTGGAAATCAATGGCAATGGTCCCCGAAGTCAATGGAGCTTTTCACGGAAAATCATATTATAATCCCCTAAATATCATCATATCTGCGGTAAATTATAACGACCTCACTGTTCTCCCGAACCCTGGAATCTTGGTTTTTATAGAGGAATCATCCCCAAATGGCCGAACTATTCAGGTTAGTGAACTATTATTTCATTTACCCAGATCATATATCATCTATAAATGGAGGTTTTTTCATGGGAAAAACATATTGTAACATCTGGAAAATCTCCAGCCATAACCTTAACATATATCTGGAAAATCATATATATATATATCATCTATAAATAATGGGAAATTTATCTATATAATATATCATCTATTACTATCATATATCATCTATTATCATCATATATCATCTATTTATCATGGAGTTTTTCATGGGAAAATCAAGATTAATCATATATCATATATTATCTATTGAAATATCATATTATAGATAATGAGGAAAATCATCATATATCATCTATTTAAATGGGAAAATCAAGGAACATCATCGAAGTAAATCGCTGGGTGGTTTTCCAGCCACGTGGCTGTTGTGGCACGCACAACAACGCCTTCCGCCAGCGCTGTAGCGGTACTTGTCGTGCCTACAGGGAGATTTTGGACCATCAAAAAATGGCAAACACAAAGCATGACATGTGTATATAGAACTATATATATATATGTATATGGTTAATAGTTATTATCAAGAATTAAGAATAGTTAATAATGATTTATGATAACTAATAATATAGCTTTATAATCCATCTATCTGGGTAAAATTATAATATTTCATCCAAAGTGTGGGAAATTCAACCGGTGGCAAATAAACCTGGCATACTCAAAAGGTCGATCTTGTCTTCCCATGAGAACCCAACTTGCAAGTGAGTTGCTGGAGGTTGTATGATGTTGTACGGCCAGTGGTTATGGCGAATCACCAAAAACACAGGAGATAATCATTGCATGATCACTGCCGCAAAAGTGCATGTAATCAGCATTCACTAACCCTCTGGGAATCAAAAGCAGCAATGGAAATCCCCTATATGTGGAAGTTTGTAGCTCGGGAAAAGAGAAAGATCTATAAATGGGGAACTTGTCCATTGCCACCTTCTAAGAAGTGGGCAAGGTTTTGTTCACCTTCTAAGAAGGTTTTTTCCTGGCTCCGAATTGCCACACTTAGTAGAGCTTCATCCTACATTGAAATACAATCATTCACCAACCAAATGGAGGTGTGAAGGGGAACATGACAAGTAAAACTTGGGTAAGTGTCGGAGTCCTCTTAGTCATCAAAATGGTGAGTGGCTAACAATCAATGAATTGGAGGTGACAATCGATAATCACTGGCGTGTCTCTTGCATTCAACCTTAAACAAACCAAACCCGTGTGGATATGACCAATAGTGACGGCCACCGAATTTTGACAAACGTCAGCCATTTAACGGTACTCCTTACAACTGACAAGACTGGGGAGAGAACTCGCGATAACATGCAATAGCCAATCATCCCTGCAGAAAGAAAACATAAGTGATAAATCTAGATTTAATAAGCATAGTCGCCATGCCAGAAATAGAGAACATGCAATTGAAATCAATTGAAAGTGCATTTTCCACGAGCAAAATGGCTCGCTCTTCCAGAGGTAGGCACCGTTTGATGATCCTGAACAGCTTGGAATGACGCGATTGGTAAGGCAATTACAACAGTTTGATATCCAACTATTAACCACCATTTCAAGAGATTGCAAGTGCTTATTCTGTTTAACCATGTTTAACCACCTTCTCACAACTTACCCTCCACTAATTCAACATAGACATGAACAATTGCAGATTTATAGATGATTTACTTTGTGGGCTGTATATTATACGAAAAAATATGGTGGTTTATGATTGCTTTACTAACATTAGCTATCTTATTCCATTCTACTGGTTGTTGTATTTTTTGGGATTCTGCAGATTCCCCATCCATGGATTGTGAGATTCCGATATTCATCAATCACACAATCACACAATCACCAAAAATAGTTTATTCCCATTTTTGGAATCTCCAGAATCTTTTGTATCCAAAAATCTTGGTTACAATCACCCCCCAACTCATCAACCAACAGGAGTTTAGAACTCACTCTGATCCCAAGAAAAGTTCGATGATTTTCCGGTGAAAAAAACTGCATTAAACATGGCCATGTCAGCTGTGTCAGTGTTCAGTTGCTTTAGGATGGTGGATCCTATTGCTTTACTCAGATTATATAATAATAGTCGTGTTAAATCCCATGAAATCCCATTAAATCCCATTAAATCATATTAAATCATGTATCCAACATTCTCCCAAATACCTATGTCAGACCTATGTTAGTTTCCCATCACCGCGGCAAGGCCCACCGCGCTGTGGCCTCGTAGTGACTGAGACGTAACGAGCCATGACCCGGCAGCAGACGTGACAAGCCTGGCCGACCGTGACACGGGTGTCACCCCAGCGGCACTGCCGATGATGAAAAAAAAACGTGGAGAAAATGTGGAACATGAGATATAAGCTTAGTATAGCTTAGTTATAGGATGTTATAATATCCATTAATATCCATGTTGAAATTGCTGGATAAGTGGGTTATGTATCCCATATGCTCCATGTATGGTATATTTACCAACATTTGCCCGAACAAAATCACCCAAATGTAGGTAAATATACCATACATGGAGCATATGGGGTATAGCTTAGTTATAGGATGTTATAAGATCCAATTTATGGCTGTTAAGGGCCATAACTGTACGGAAGCATTTTCAATGGATTGGTTTGATGGAAAATCTTCACCGGAAACCATCGATTTTGCCATGAAGTATGGGGTTTTCCGGCTAAAAAAAACTAAAACCCATCCATTGACTTAAGTATGGAAAAAAACATATGGAAATATATGGAACATGAACAACATATGGAAAAAAAAAACAATATGGAAAAAACCTATGGAGAAAGATATGGAGACACATAGTGAAAAACATATGGTTAAAAAAAAAACTGGGGAGAAAAACAAATGCAGAAACAGGTGGAAATCATGTGAATTTGCGTATGGAAAAATAGAACACATATGGAACATGAATGGTGAAAACATATGGAAACATCTGGACAAACCTGTCGAGAAAAAACATACGGAGAAACATGGTTAAAAACTTATGGTGAAAACATATGGTGAACGAAAAACATATGGAAAAAAACATATGGTGAAAAACATATGGTGAAACAAATATGGTGAACATATGGAACACAAATTGTCTTGATACACCATAGTTTGCCCTGAAGTGCCCTGAATGATAACCTGAAATGTTCGGCGACCTTGGGATAGTTCACTCTGCGAACTCAGAGGTAAGTGGGAAGCTTAGGAATCATCAGCGATTTATTCCCGATCCAAACACATGTTTCGGATCGAAGGTACTTAGCCTAATCCCCTCTCCCAGATGCGAACCATGGTGCTGGAATATTTACCTGCAACACTGGCCCATAAAAGTGGGGTTTTAATGTAGGTAAATATTCAAGCACCATGGTTCGCATCTGGGATAGACCATTTACCAAAGACCATCTATATATCTATGACCATTCACCATCCATTAACCGGAACCATGTTTTTATTGTTTTTTTACCATTAACTATGGGGGTATATGAATCATACCCCACACTTCGAAGCTACGGCCGGATCCAATCCGGGATTGGCCATGGCCAGTCTTCCTGTCATCGGTTTCCGCCCGGAAACCCGCCTGCCAGGAGTGTGCTCTTTCCAGCCTAGGTCTCTGTCAGGTTGGCTAAGGATTTTGAGGCCATCGATCTATCTATATATCTATATATATATATATATGTATGTATATATATATATAATTGTATATGTATATGTATGGTATGTGTAATGTATATAATCTATATCTATATCTATATATATATATTGAAGGTTTCCTAAGATGGGGGACTCCCATATCATCAATCATGTGACTTTTTTGTAAATAGGAAACCCTGAATTTTGAAATACATCGATTTTCTGAAAACATGATGTGATTTATGTGTCTGGGATCGTCGCAAAAGCAAGGTAGAACTGCATAGAACTGCCAGTTGTTGTCACGGAACTGTAAGAAATGTGAGAAAGTTGTGCTGAGGATCAACTCTTGCCGTCAGTCAAGGCTTCCAAGAATGTACATATACTGGTTGGTGGTTTTAACCATCTTGAAAAATATGAGTTCGTCAACGGGAACGATTATCCCATATATTATGGAAAATAAAAGCCATGTTTGAAACCACCAACCAGATATCTCATACCCTCTGGTAAACATACAAAAAACTATGAAAAATCACCATGCTATCAATGGGTAAATCCACGATTTCGACTGGGCCATTTTCCAGTTCGCAAACTGTAACAGTCATTACCAGAGGGTAAACTATCCAGTTGGGATGATTCTTCCCATATATTATTGAACAAATAAAATTCATGTTCCAGTCACCACCAACCAGATAACTATCATTGGATTTGTTTATTCGGGAGTTGTTTTACAGGATCCTGGGAAACCAAAAAAAGGGAGAAAAAAAAACAATGACATTTCATGGTTTCCTATATGTAGATTGCCAATAATATTGGTTTATATTGGTTTCCCATAAAAAATCATGGTTTAGTGGTTTCCCATATGTATCCCATATTGGTTTCATGGTTTCCCATAAAAAAAAAAAAAAACTGTATGTACACTCTGGTTATTTAACATAGCCATGGTATAGACGGCCCATATATAGATGGTTTACCTATTAAAAATGGTGATTTTCCATGGCTATGTTAAATAACAAGATGGTAGATGTTCCCTTAAACCCATCAGGCCCCAGCTCCAGATGATCCAACGAGTGCCACATGCTCTCGAGGCAAAACCTCGCCGGTTTAAAGAATGACCCGTCTGACCCGTCGACGAATGGCTACCTAAGGTGCCCCTAGATGTACCCATCAATACCCATCAAAATACCATCAAATAGCCATAAACATGGTGTTTTACCTCATCAGTTTAGGATGTTCATCATTGTTCATCATTCTTGGGTGGTATTTGGATGGTCTAGGCCATTTAGTCTTGTAACATCTTAAGTAACTACATGGTTTTGGGATTCTCGCTGTTGAGAGATACATGCATGGCGCCTTGTCTGAAAGTAAGGTACACCAGGTACACCTATAATTCCAAAACGGCTTGATGATGCCATAGCATTCAATTCGAAAACTTGCCAACCATGATGCCAGGCTTAGAGCTTCGCAGTAAACCACTGCGCATGTGGGTTAGGTACTCCATATACCCCTTCTCTGGATTTTTTGCTATAGTGATATGTTAGCAACTGGTTGGTGGTTGACCTACCCCTCTGAAAAATATGAAAGTCAGTTGGGGTTACTATTCCCAATATATGGAAAAATAAAATTCATGTTCCAAACCACTAAGCAGGATATGTTAGCGTTTTTGTTTTGCTTCTGCACCTCTTGTTGGTGTCAGCCACTGACAATGGGCTCCTGATCCCCCTCCCCCAACTTGAGTCAAAACTCAAAGCCCCAAGGTCCATGCATCAAGCTGTTCAAACGGTCGCACTTCATCCCTCAAAGACAGTCCCCAGATTTTCCATTTTTTGGTCAGACTCCAATTTGCAACTTGGGAACGCGTTTACGCGTTCCGCAAACGTGTAGGCAGGCTTAACTTCGGCGTTTGCCTAATGATATTCCAATTTCTGCGGCTTTTCAGAACTTCTGTTCCACATGTTCTGACTCTTCCTCCCAGAGCCATCACTTGCTGTTTGGGATTCACCTCCCACCTCTCCCCTCCATAAGCGCACCTTTAAGGTCAGAGGCTCAAACACTGGACCTGTGGAAGTGAAGATAGTGAAGGACGGGGGCCCCGGATTATCCTGATTTTCTGGACATTTACCTAGACCCAAATACCACCCCAAAATGGCAAACATATGCAAACATACTGCAACAATTGGGATAAACATTGGTAAAATATCATGTTTATGGGTGCAAACAGATGGTTGAGTCACCACTGATCTCTTGGAACGGGATTTTGGAATTCTCAGACAAGAAACACTCAAGAAACTTCCAAAAGTAAGGAGGCTGGAGCAAAGCTGATGTGTATATATATATATATTAGCCATAGCCATTCCGTATCATGATGTTATATTATACATGTGTTTGTTGATTCCGAATGTAGCGATCTATGATTAGTAATATAGTCATATTATCAGCAATTTGAAGATGTTAGAAGGTATTTTATGATCCACTTACCTCACTAACCGTAGATGTCAGTCATAATTAATTCAAACACCCAAATATGCAAATATGTTTCATACATCAAACCTGCGCAACATGGGTATTCCATGTGATTTCAACTAATCTTTCGAGACCGGGGCTCTACCTCCAAGCTTGTTCTGCGCAAAGTGTGGCCAATAGGACCTGGGCCAGTGGCAGGGTTTGGCCCGTGGTTAGATCAGTATGTTTCAATATCTTTGGATATTTCACTGGCCATCTCAGGAACCTAAATTTGAGGTACCTACCATATATAAGGCCTATGCAAGGGCTATGTAAGGGAATATCCCCAGAAAATCTGGCCTTATATGTTACAGTACCTCCATTTTAGGATCCTGAAATTCCCATTGAATATTTGGGGTTTCCTAAAATGGGGGTACCCCAAAATGGATGGTTTATACTGGAGAATCCCATTAAAATGGATGAGAACTGGGGGGGTATATTATTTGGCGTGTATTTTCTGCGGAAGTAAGGTACCTTCTTTGCGAATCACTCGACGCTTCAAGCATATACGGCAATATACGGCAATTCCTGGAGATGGACATCGCAATGCTAGCAGATCTAAGCATGTTTTTTTCACATTTGCCCTCTGGTAAACTATTTCTATGCGCCATTTTCAATAGCTATGTAAACGTTTACCAGAGGGTATGGTTCTTGTTGAAACCGCATCCCCAATTGCATCACCTGTACAGGGACGCAAGCAAGCACAGCCCACACTGTGAACACTAGGATGGACAAAACCACAGAAACACATGCGATAGCAAGCAAAGTTCCACCTGCTACTGCCCTAGACCTTTCACATCCTTTCACATCCTTTCACATCCTTTCACATCCTTTCACACTTAAGTTCGAATCGAGGCTCTTTCATCATCGTCTTTTTAAATCTCGACAAACTTTGTCGCATGCTCTTCCCGATTTTTCTATCCAATTCTTTAAACATTATCAATGAGAGGTTGACTGGTGGGACATGGCTGAACTATATTCCTGGTTGGTGGTATACCTACCCGTCTGAAAAATATGAGTTCTTCAGTTGGGATGATGAAATTCCCAATATATGGAACAATAAAATTCATGTTCCAAACCACCAGCCAGTAATAGCTACGGAAAATCACCATTTGTATCCATTTGTTTCATATAAAGGTAAATCATCGAACTACATATAAAGGTCATCATCGAACTGAATTGATTGGATTGGTTTAAGGGAAAATTTACAGGAAACCATATAGATTTTCCTGTTAAATAATGTTAAATATGGGTCTTTCCTGTAGATTTTCCCTTAAACCAATCCATCGAACTGAATATTTCTGAATGATGAAATGTCACACTTTGCAGCGATGTGAGATGATGTCAATCGGCTCGGCTGGCCTCGCCGGAGTTCAGCTGAGGCCCCAACTGGAGTTCCTGGCTGTTCGCAGGACTTGGACCGCTTGGATTCATGGGATTCATGGTCCATTTGGGTATGGATCAAAACCTATTAATACCCTCTGGTTATGTCAAAATAGCTATTGAAAATGACCATAGAAATAGTGGATTTTCCCATTAATAGCATGGTGTTTACCAGCTATTAATGTTGAATACCTATTAATAGCTATTAAATGGATAGGTATTAATCATCCATAAATCCCAGCTATAACTTGATGTGAACTACAGGGCTACTATTGGTTTTGACACACTGCCATTTCAGCTCAGGCCGCCGTCATGAAAATTTCGTGCTTAAGTCCCCATTTGTTGCACAAATCGCTTCTCTCATGGTCCATTTCTTCGTGGAAGTCCACTGAATTTTGGCTTGAACCAAAAAATATTGATTCATTTATTCTAGATGTATCCGTTATTTTTTCCTGGCTGGTGGTTTTAACCTTGAAAAATATGAAAGTCAATGGGAAGGATGACATCCCATATATGAAATGGAAAATAATCCAAATCTTTGAAACCACCAACCAGCATACACAAAAATACAAATCCATTTATAATTATATATATATATATCCCATAGTAAACCCTATATAAATCGCATCATGATTGGGTGAAAGCTCCAGGATTTCTTGTCAGTCAATGGCCCATTTTCATCATATTTTCTCCGTTGGCCTGGCTCCAAGTCTCCCAGATTTTCGTGAGTGATGGCTGCATATCGGGTTGGTGGTTTCAACCTACCCCTCTGAAAAATGATGGAGTGAAAGTCAGTTGGGATGATGATTCCATTCCCAACTGAATGGAAAGTCATGAACAATTCCATGGTCCCAAACCACCAACCAGATATGAATCATTGATAAAATCCCATGAGAAATCCAGAAGATCAATGCCAATCCACGATAAATCCCTATGAAATCCCATGATCAATCCCTATGAAATCATAAATCCATCAACATCGCCCATTTTTCCCAAGGTCTTCGTTACTCATCGCCTTGCTCCTGGGCTCCCCGGACCAAGGTGCCACTCATGGGCCAGTTTTCGGGGACTTCGCATGCTTCGCACACGCCTGCGTGGCCCAGGTTGCCCGAGGGTCGCCCGAGGGTCGCCCGTCTTTTCAGACCGTAAGTGGCTACCATCTGGTTACGACTAACAGTTTGCCATGGAAAATCCACCAATTTTTAAGAACGGTAAACCATGAATTTCTATGGGCCATCTATTGGCTATGTTAAATAACCAGATGGTATTTGTATATCAATGCATATATATATATATATCATACAAGGTGGTGCCCCAGTTCGTGAACGCTAGGTTGGTTCACATAACTCCAATTTCACTATGGTTTATAGATACTATATATCTATAGTTAATGGGTTTATAAGCAATTTATAACTGGAGGGGGCACCACCTTGTACCAGTGAAAATGGGATTAACATGGATTAACTATCATGAAGATGGAAAAAGTCTCTTACAGAATCCTAGGATCCCGACTTGACAGATGAAACCTCTTACCCAGGTGCTCCATGGTGCTGGAATATGCACACCAAGATTTGCCCGAAGAAAATCACCCAGTTTTGTAGGTAAATATACCAGCACCATGGATCCTCTGGGTAATGAAGAACATTTTGACCATGGGATTAACTTATTAAATTTCCATACTTATTAAATGTACATATTAAAATAGTATGTTTTTTTTCTATGGCCATCTATACTTAAAATGGAGCTAATGGATATGGAAAGATTATAAGCATCATTAGTAAACATATTATGAATCATGGTTATGTGATGATGATCCTGGTTATATAATGATGGGACAAGAGTGCTAAAGTCTAATGGATCGATGATGGAATACTCCTGGGATAATAATTGGTTAATGATGGTTATATCATGATGGTTAATAAGGGTAACATCTTGTTAATGGATTGTTTATAATTAATGGAAACTCCTATTAAAATGGGTATCCCTATGGATCCAGCCGTACCTTCTTAGGAAGTCGACTGGGGTATGATGACGTTGGGGATCAAGATGGGTTGAGTACCTTCTCAGACAGTGTTCGGATCCATAGGGCAGAGATTGGAATGTCTATTTTTATCTATTCACCATCTAAGTATTGGGGTAGCCAATTTTGACTCATACCCATCTTGATGTCTTTGTCCGTCTTAAATCTGAAACATGCAACAAATGTCAACCTTTAAACAGTTGAAAATGAGGATTGGCCAAGTTTTGCTTCACTGGCGATGAGCACTGGCTGCATGAACGAGTTCACAGAACAACGAACTTTCGGACTAGTCAACAGAAGCGGCATGTTCATTTATCTGGCCAGCAAGTTAGGAAAGTTTCGAAAACCCCTTGTAGAACCGTGAAAGCAACTCAAGCTTACGCATCTTACGCGAGACTTCAGCGGTTACGCCAAGTGAATGTTGAGATCGCTTCCAATGGACACACAAAGAAACAAAGAAACAAACACTGTGTTGGTGTTGTTGGGATTTGCATGTCAGGAGCAAACCTTGCAAGTAAAATGATGTCAAATGACCGCTTTCCCAATCACCACCCTTGCTTGCTTTGACATTGATTGATCTCTTCGATGCACAATACCCTTTCTTTGAAGAGTGAGCACTTCTTGTGCATGGTGGTTTTCACTTCGATGCACAGCTCAGCTCAACCATCATTAGCGTGCTGAGATGAAACACCCACGAGTACCGAAACCACCAAGCAACGTCTGGAGTGGCACGATACTGCACCAGCTCTTTGAAACCGGGATTGCTGACTCCACTGACTCCGACAAGGATTTTCCAAAACACGTTGGTGACCCCAACAGTTCTATTTGCTGTTTTATTCACCCATCTGATCATCCAACATCAACTAGCTATGTAGTTGACCTAAGTTAGAAGCTATAAACCATAGTTAACATTCTATTAACCTTGAACCATGAAAGAGTCAAGCGGACTTGACCCGCACGTCGTGCTCCGCATATCCTTTTCTGGATTGCTGGTGGTTTTTGTTGTCTGCTCTTCTAAACTGAGCATATGAATCGATATGAATCATATTTATCTTACAAAAACTCACCATCATCAAACATTTACACCAAATTAAAACTCTCCGGTGGCAACGCATCTACAGGCCATGATGTTCACGGCAAAATACGAGGTCATCCGTCTTCAAGGTCGTCCCAGATTCTGCTGGAATCATTTGCAGAGAAATAAACGCAAAACAATGGACAAAAAAGTCCCAGCCGCTCATATTAGGGATATTGAATATATATAATGATAGTATAGTATATATTATTATTATTATCATTATTGTTATTTTTATTATAGTATAATATATATAATAATTATTATTATCATTGTAATATATATATATAAATATTATATACTATATATATTATACTATGCATATATAATGTAATATAATATAATATAATATAATATTATAATAATATAATATAATATAATATAATATAATATAATATATATATGTATACTATGTATTGATGAACCAATAGATTAGGCTTCTTACCTGCAACCTTCAACTTTGACGACCACTACAAAGACCCTCTTACGACAGGCGTCATCAGTGAGAGTTGGGCTCACATGGCAGGAGGTTGCCTGAGATGAGAAAATCTATGGATTCCTGCAGATATTTTCAAAAAAAAAAACTAATCCATTGGTTTAAGGGAAAACGAACACTGGAAAGCATGTTGTTTTCCCCAAGTAATTATAGAGGTTTCCGGTTTCAAATTCCCTTAACCCCAAAAAAAAACATGGATGGGTTGCAGTCAGGTCCGAAAAAAATGGACCCCGAAACTTCATGATGTCCACTAAACCATCAATTTACAAAGTGGGGCCCCCCAAACGATAGCTAAGTTGGTGAACATAACTCCAATAACTATGGTTTATGGTACTTATAACTATAGTTACTGGGGTTTATAAACCAACTAACATCACTTGGGGGCCCCACATTGTACCATCGTTGCTTTGGGATAAGCAACTTTGAGCGATACCGAGGAGTAATGGTGGCGTGGGAAATTTCGTACAGGATCCCAGATCCTGTACGAAATTTCGTTTCAAGATGTGTCCCATCTGTGGGGCCAAGACGGACCTAGCCATGACCCATTCCTCGGGTATACAAACACCACTATGCATGACCAATCTTTGGTGCCCTGCAAAAACAACATAAATATATGTCTACAGTAGATGATTATGTGTATATATATACATACATATTATAGTATATCTCTCGAATTATATCGATACATTACATGACATATGTTTATGTTCGTCAATTTCATAGATAAACACAACATAAACACCATGCCATGACCATCCCAAAAAATGGCATGACCATCCCAAAAAATGGCATGACCATCCCCAAGGGTCTACCGGGTGACACAAAGGATCTCGGATTCCGATGAGGAAGGTCAAGGATACTCCACCTCGCCCAAGCTATCCAAGCTGCAGCTTGGCCACACAAAGAATCACGAGAATCGCAAAAAAGATCAGTCGTCAACATGTCAAAATAGTATACGGAAGAAACACCACAACACTATATAATGCTATATATATATATCAAGAACACGAGCCAAATATATAAACGGAATAATGAGGAATGAACTTAACATTATATGTTTGGGTGTCCAACAGCCAGGTCAGATGAAATACCTGGGGGCGTACCCGTACGATCTTGGGATCTCCGTTGTGATACTCCAGCGGTTCCATACTCAGACCTACCGACTGGATTATGTATATGTATATCAATGGGAGATCTCCAGGATCCTAAAATAGAGGTACTGTACCATATAAGGCAGTTTTTTTGGGTGATATATCCCCTTACATAGGCCTAAAACATAGGCATTATATATGGTAGGTACCTCCAATTTAGGTTCCTGAAATGGCCATTGAATATATTATGCTATGAAATGATATGATATGATACAGGGTGGTGCCCCCCCAGTTATAAGTTGGTTTATAACCCCCATTAAGTATAGGTATATCTACCATAAACCCAAGTGAAATTGGAGTTATGTTCACCAACTTAGCTAACGAACTGGGGCACCACCTTGTATGATATGTATGATATATATATATATATGCATTGATATACAAATACCATCTGGTTATTTAACATAGCCATGGTATAGATGGCCCATATATAGATGGTTTAATTACCTATTAAAAATGGGTGGATTTTCCATGGCAAACTGGTAGTCATAACCAGATGGTAGCCACTTACAGTTTCTGGTGTGATCTGTCAGGATCTCATGAACATTATGCAAGTGGTGCCAGCCCAGGCAGTTGACCATGACAGCCGCCACAAGCCAACGGTTCTCTGGAATTGTCTCCTCAACCATCCCACACCATTGACAGTTGTGGTCATGTCTTGGCCATCGAAATTTTGGGGTACCTATATGTACCCATTTTAAGCGCCAATAGCTGCAATCCTATAGCAAACAATATGTGTTTTGTCTCTTTTTTTACATGCTTGATAGAACTTCTTGTGATTACACACCATATCATATCCAGTCCCAGTCATATCCATCTTGAAACAAACAGATCCATTCAACTCAGGTCCCCAACTTTGAACCCAACCCATCGGACCCATCCACAACACAAGCACCGGTGGTTTTCTTCGAGAAGCAAAGGATCACCAACATCGTGGAGAGGAGATAGGATCGACTCATTGGTGCTAGCATCACGCCTTCGGGGATACTCCCGCAGTACACCAATGAAATTATATGGGTATGGATCAATACCTATTAATACCATTTTTAGTGGGATGAACATCCATTTACCAGCTATTTTGATGTTCACCAGGGGTACAAGGTTTTGACACACTGCCATATGGGTAATACGGTATTAAGCAAGAAAAATGGACATTTAATGGAAGCTAATGGGATTAACTATAATCTATGATTTGGATTGATTTGGATGATTTGGGATTTGGGATTGTATATTGCCAATATCTATCCCTATGGATCCAGCCGTATCTTCTGAAGTACCACTGGGGTATGATGACGTTTCGGGGGTTAAGATGGGTTGAGTACCTTCTCGGACACTGTTTGGATCCACAGGGCAGAGATTGGAATGTCCAATTTTATCTATTCGCCATTTAAGTACTGGGGTAGCCAATTTTGACTCATACCCATCTTGATGTTTGGATCCATAGGGTTTGCTGAACAAAAAAATGAGAGAAAGATGTTCTTTTGACGAAGCTTTTGTTGTTGGTCCGCCACGCAAAACACCGGAAAACCAGGACACACTTTTGAAGCACACCAGCTCACATCATCCGGAAAGCTATGGAATTGAATGCAATTACCATACAGTGTCTATGGGCACCCGATTTAATGCATAGATCTGTGAGGATCGAAGCAGGATACTCTTCAGAACTCATTGGTTAGTCAGATGTTCCCCACATTTTGATGGTGGCATACAAACCATTTTCAGACACACCAATGTATCGGTGCTTAAAGCAGGTGCAAACATCATAGTGTTTGCTATGAATCCCAGTGAATATCGTCAAAACTTGGATTTGCTGGAACCATTGAACAAATGAAATATCTATTCCCTATACATTCCCCAAGTAGTGGATTATCCATTTGGAAAATAAGCCAGATCATCTTCAGCAATTCCAAGAAACGGTTGCTTATCATACACATACTGCTTAAGGTTGGTTCTATGCCCATATTCCCATCTGCTTATTGAACATGGCTATGGAAAACAGCCTAATTATAGATGATTGCTGGTCATTTACAAATCAATAATAGTTATTTTTCAGTTCGCTATACCACATGGTGAATCTTAGATACCTACCAGTTCTTTTTAGCTGGTTGGTACATGATACCATTGATCGCAAAAAATATAAAATACTAGTTCGTATCCGACAAAGGTTGACCCTTGGTACGCAGTAAGTGGTGACTTTCCCGTTTGCAAACTGTTATTTAAATATTTAAATGATATAGTATATGCATATGTATATTAATATGTATAATATATATATATATTTATTTATATATATGTGTGTGTGTGTATTCACCATGAGGCCAATTGGTGAATCCCCAATTCTCTCTGCCCCGTCCCCTTTTCTTGATGCCCTCAGACCCCCGTCGCCTGGAAGACATCCAGCAGCAGCCCAAAGCACCAAGAGCGCACTGGATGGCACGCTGTAGCATCTGCGGACAGAAGCCAGTGGGCCATCATTACTATGTATGTATGTATATATATATATATATGTATCCTATTCTATATATATATATATTATATCTCTATGGATCCAAACACTGTTTGAGAAGGGACTTGACCCCAAAAAATCATACCCCAAGTACTTCCTAAGGAGGCCCTATCAGTTCACCTTGTCAGACCAACTCAGAAGACGCACCTCCTTTTTCCTGCAGACCTCAGCGACGACTGGAAAACATGGCCAGCTTCTGGGACACCAATCCTCCAAACAGATTTAAGTGGCTTGGGTTACTTGGGTCTATTGAATTCTATCTATAGGGTTTAATGTATATATATATAGGGTTTCATGATGCTTATTTGAATCTATAGGCTTTAATGATTCTATTCGGAGGCTCAAGAGTCCTGAAACTGTCAAAACATCATGTCAAAACGCTGGCACCGCGGCCAAGAAAACAAATTCCTAAATCCTACCATCTGGTTATTTAACAGTTTGCCATGGAAAATCACCATTTTTAATAGGTAAACCATCTATTTCTATGGGCCATCTATACCATTGCTATGTTAGATAACCAGAGGGTATATCCCTTGGGTCCCGCGGATGTCTTGGCAGATGTTGGTTCCCCGGCTCCATGCACTGTACTTTTTGTTTGTCATCGGATCTCTTTTTTCGGATAGGTTTACCTTATGAAGTCCATGAAATTTCGACCTTCATAAGCCTTGATTCTTAGCATTTCATAGCGCAGACCGTGATTTCAGAAAAAAGAAAGGTCCCAAATGAAGTCATGATACCATCCCTCTATCAACCACCCTGCCTCAAAAAGAATGGTGGATGTTGGAAGATGACTAGTTTCCTCAACAAATGATACCCTCTGGTAGACAAATATAGCTATTGAAAATGGCCATAGAAATAGTGGATTTACCCATTAAAAATTGTGATTTTCCATAGTTATGTTAGTTTACCAGAGGGTATGCTTCTCAGGGTCAGACTGTTGGTTGGTTCGTATGGTTGTTGCTTCGTCGCTCTTATTTGTAATGATAGAGATCTCTACCATCAACCCGACAGTAAAGACCAGTTCAAACCCCTGCTTGATGGGGTTTCAATGGCTTGGTTTAAGGGGAAATTTACAGAGAAAACCGATATTGTTTACCAAATATAGGGATTTCAGGTTTCAATTTTCCCTTAGACCCATTTTTTGATTCAAGCCATGTTCAAGGGACTATCAACCATTCTAGGTGTCAACCCAAAAAAAGAATAGAACGGTGAAATCTCACCAAAATAGTGAGACATTATACTGTCCAAAATGGTCTACATGTCTTTTTAGGGATTATATATACTTATAAGCTGGTTGGTGGTTTTAATCATCTTGAAAAATATAAGTCAATGGGAAAGATTATCCCATATATTATGGAAAATGAAATTCATGTTCCAAACCACTAACCACTAAGCCATAATAGTCTACAGGACTCCATCCTTTTCTCCGGTGTCTCCCGGTCCAAAAAAAACCCGAGCCTTTCAGTGTTTGGCTGGGCCTCCCTGCCCCCTTTCGAGGCTACTATAAGCGCTTCCTGACCTGGTGCGGGACCCACGTTTCGTAAATGGCTCAGTCAGTTATACCCCGGCCCCCAGTTAGATTTATGGAAGATCACCATAGATCACCACTTGTGGGATGAAATTGTGGGTTATGGATGGTTATGGATGGTTATGGATGGTTATGGATGGTTATGGGTGGTTATGGGTGGTTATGGATTATAAACCACGTACGATTCGTGGGATGCACATCCTGGTGAAATGATAATTGTACGGTTTGATCCTCCCTGTTTTAGCCCATAAAATGCTTTTTTACCTATGATTTTCGTACTTTATGACATTTTTATTGCAGGGATTATTCTTTGGAGGGTCTAGATAACTATATCATGATTCGGTTCAACTAACCGTAGTCACGATCCACGATTCACCCAGGGTTTACAAGGTGGTGCCCCCTCCAGTTATGAATTGGTTATAAACCCATTAACTATAGATATATCACCTATAAACCATAGTTATTGGAGTTATGTTCACCAACTTAGCTATCTTGGGGGCACCACCTTGTAACATGATAATTTTGTTTTTTCACTGGGGTTTTAGTACAAGTGAATTGACATCAGGATCGTCAGCCCTTGGGAGACACAACGGGGATATCAACTTCAGGGACATCAGCGGCATAGGGCTGATATAAGCAAGCAACTAACGAAAGGTGAACACTATTGAACACTACTATTGATGGGTCAGTTACTAATGCTGATATAGGCTGAAACTAGCAATTGACTAGAAAATTCAATGAACTAGTGCTGTTTTTTTAGTGATGAACAAAAACGCATAGACGTAGCATGACGTAGCGTGACGTACACAACATCTTCGGTCATGAATCATCCCATCCTATCGGATAGCCCAGGCACCCAGATTTGGACAGTTTTTCCAAAAAATCTGCCAGAAGGTTGGTCAGGAAAAGCGCCTTGGGATGAGAAGGATGTCGCTAAAGGCCTGGTTTACTTCTGCGGGATGGGGAAAACCAATTCGAAAAAAGTAACCACCCATAAAAACCACAGAGTTTGTTAATCCAGAGTTGACATTGTTGGCTGCGAAAAATTGCTAGTCAGACCTCTGTTTTTTTTTTCTCGGGGATTGCGCCATCTGCCCCATCTTGGTTGATACTTCCAGTGATCAATTTGGATGGGCAATCATGGTGATGGATAGTTGTGCCAATCAAGCGATGAAGCAAATGCAGCATGTTTGAAATTGTGATCTGGTTGGTGGTTTGAACCCCTCTGAAAAATATGAAAGCCAGTTGGGATGATTATTCCCAATATATGGAAAATCATAAAATTCATGTTCCAAACCACCAACCAGTCATGTGTGTGTGGGTATGTCGCAATTGCATATTGAATGCGCAACTGTCTTCTCCGGCACAAGAGCAATATGGGAGCAATATGGCCCATGACCACCTGCAGGATGATTTTCCTATGGCTGTTCCATGCATCTTCAAAGAAATCGGGATGGACATGTAGCCAGTTGGATAGACAGAAACACATCTCGGTAGATGAGCATCCCGGGGGGACTCAAAACCGGCCCACAAAAATTGTTCAATTGCTCACGGCGCCACAGCGAGACGCCAACTTTGAGAATCAAAACGTCCGCCAAAAAAAGGCCCTCCCAGCTTCCACGTGTGCCCCCTCACAGCACTTTTGCTCCAAAAACGCGCCGAGTAACTTCTGGTGAGTTTACAAGTTCTTCAAGGTTTCTGCTGTATGTTTCATTATGTTTTTTCCCGTGCATTCCCCCGCGCCATTGGTAGCGTTTGAGGCACTTCCACAAACTGACGTTCCGTTTGTTCTTTTTTTTTGGAAGGTAAACTGTCAGGAATGGCCTTTTTAGCCCCTTTCCAAAAACCATCAATATTTCCTATGTGGATCTTTGTCCAGCCTCAAAAGCGCATAACATTTGACTTGAAAAGTTAACAACGTAGCAGCAACAGCGTCTGAGATGTTACTGGAAGACGTAGCAAGCGTGGCACCGCATCATACCGCATCCGTTTAGCACGGACGTTATTGCCCCACCCCACCCCACCCCAACGTAACAGCAACCCCGACGAAAGGTATATGTTTTGTGGGACGGTAATGAGCCCGCTGGCATGAACATCTATGTGGAGGTTTCCTGAAATAGGGCTACCCGTAAGTCATCTATGTTATTTTCGGCTTTTCCATAGTAAACCATTCAGCTATTGGGGTACCACCATCTATGGAAACCATGTGCCTCCTGCCGACCAGACCCAGCAAAGAAAGCAATAATTTCTGTCCAGCTGCCAACCAGCAACTTCCTGCGGTCAAACCACTACCCACCAGCACGCAAATCACAGCCTGTGCGGATGCTCGACCCCCATGGGATTCAAAGTGCAGCCGAAAGATAGCTAAGTTGGAAACTCCAATCACTATGGTTTATGATTATAACTATAGTCAATGGGTAAATAATCCAATTTAGAATTTAGAAGTGGGGGGGAGCACATTGTTGGGCACTGCACCTTTCTGGCATGTGAGAGGTGATGAACACTGATTCAACACTCAAGTTCGGACTTTGAAGGTGTGTATAACAAACTGCAATCTTGGTTTCGATTCATTTTCCCATATGCGAACCATGGTGCTGGTATATTTAGCTACAAAACTGGCTGATTTTGTTCAAATCTTGGTGTGCATACTCCAGTTTACCATGGTTCGCATATATGAGCCATGGTCAATACTCACTATATGGTTGATGGTCATCCCATCCATAATAAGGATCCTTATAATGGTTATTATAAATCCCTATTATAAATCCCTATGAACCATTGGATGACTAGCCCCTATTAATGGTTATTAACCATGAGTATTGACCATAGCTCATATGGCTTTGGCAACAAAGACTTCGGATGTCGGATCTAAGGAATCGGATCCTGACCGATGAATCCCCAGTGGCGCCAGCTGTGGTGATCGCTGTCGAAGTCATAACTTACTTTGCTGCAAGCACCACGACTTTGGAGACTTTTGGTTGGTGAAATTTCATCAATTTTCCCGTCCAAATCAGAATTTCTGTTGGGTAAATCATCATTGGTAAAAGGCTCGGACCAACCATCGCGTATTTTGCCATCACCGTTGTTGCGTTAGGTCACCAATTCTCTTGAAATCCATACCCAGATGCTCCATGGTGCTGGAATATTCCCCTACATAAAAAAAAAAAAAACACATTTTTATGGCCCAGTTTTGTACATATTCCAGCACCATGGTTCGCATCTGGGATATCAAATCCCTTCTTGCTTAAATCCCTCATCTTTGCCGAAAAACGGCCGGTCGGCCTCCATTTTCCCATGAAACAACCACCGCCCTGGAATATTCACGCCACCCGAATATGCACGCCTCGAAGGTGCCATGACGCAGATAGGCCAGGCAAGAAGCGATGGCCAAAATGGACAGGGCCAGGTAGACGCGATGCATCTGGGGATGCTGCGGATGGATCGGATGGATCGGATGGATCAATGGGTTGAGATTCATTGGGATTTGCGGCTATCAGTCGGCAATTTTGTTGAATGGGATACTCATGAAACTATCAATTTACTGGGATTCAATGGGATTCAATTACCCTCTGGTAAACTAAAAGCTATGGAAAATGGCCATTTAAGTCGAAATAGTGAGTTTTCCCATGAAAAATGGTGAATCTTTCCATAGTTATGTAACAGTTTACCAGAGGGTAAGTGCCATTAAATCCCATCAAATCCCATTAAACCACCAGTTTCCTATGGTTTTCCTATGGTTTTCCTAGTAATGAGATTCTCAAACGCTATGGGATAAAAATGTGGTAAATCCAATCATCAACCAGGTAACCATCCCGCAAAACCCAACGGTGACCTGGTGAAATGGGTAGTATGTGAAAACCCCAGTCAGACGGTAGGCTATCATGGCATGGGGTTTCCCACATTACCGGGCTTGAATGGTACTATATATAATATATATAATACAATATATTTATATAATGGGATTCAGTGGGATTCAATCAATTAATTTTCATGAAATTCACAGAAGATACGGCTGGATCCATAGGAACTGGCTGATGAATCGGATTCAATGGGATTTCTCATACCCATAGGATCCATGGTGCTGGTATATATGCTAACATGACTGGGGTATATTGATGGGATCCATGGCACACCATATATAGCAGCACAATGGATCCTCTGGGATAGAATAACCAATGATACAATGGTTCAGCTTCCATGGGATTCCCATCTGGTCTGCTCAAACATGGCAAGCTGGAAAATCCAATAGTCATTTCATCTGACACTTTTTTATGCTACCCTCCCCATGAAGCTGTTTGGGGTTTAGGAAAATCCAGGCTTGACACTATACATTATTTATATATATACAATGTGGGGCCTCCAAATGATAGATAAGTTGGCGAACATAACTCCAAAAACTAAGGTTTATTATACCATGTGGTTATTTCACAGTTCGCCATGGAAAATCCACCCATTTTTAAGAACGGCAAACCATCTATTTCTATGGGCCATCTATACCATTGCTATGTTAGATAACCAGAGGGTAAATCCCTTGGGTCCCGTGGATGTCTTGGCAGATGTTGGTTCCCCGGCTGCATGCACTGTACTTTGTTTGTCCTAAGAGCTTTCCGGCCCATCTGGCGCACCGCCACCGGATCTTTCCTCAACTCCCTGGTGATGATCTCCTCCAAAGGCTCCGAAATTTGTGGAAAAAAAACGCCATTTTTGACCCATTTTTGTCATCCCATAAGCGGACATCTTCTATAGATATTCCATATATATATATATATCCCTATGGATCCAGCCGTACCTTCCTAGGAAGTTTTTGGGGTATGATGACTAGGGGGTTAAGTACCTTCTGAGACAGTGCTTGGATCCATAGGGTATACATACATACATACATACATACATGCATGCATGCATGCATGCATGCATACATACATACATACATACCATTACATACCATTACATACCATTACATTACATTACATTAAATTACGTTACATTACATTACATTACAGTACATTGCATTACATTACATTACATACATTACATTACATTACATTACATTACATTACATTACATACATTACATACATTACATACAATACATACATTACATACATTACATACATTACATACATTACATACATTACATACATTACTTACATTACATACATTACATACATTACATACATTACATACATTACATACATTACATTACATTACATTACAATACAATACAATACAATACATACATACATTACATACATTACATACATTACATACATTACATACATTACATACATTACATACATTACATACATTACATACATTACATACATTACATACCTACATACCTACATACCTACATACCTACATACCTACATACCTACATTACATGCATTACATGCATTACATGCATTACATGCATTACATACATTACATACATTACATACATTACATACATTACATACATTACATACATTACATACATTACATACATTACATACATTACATCCATTACATACATTACATACATTACATACATTACATACATTACATACATTACATACATTACATACATTACATACATTACATACATTACATACATTACATACATTACATACATACATACATACATACATACATACATACATACATACATACATTAATACATACATTAATACATACATACATACATACATACATACATACATACATACATACATACATACATACATACATACATACATACATACATACATACATACATACATACATACATACATACATACATACATACATACATACATACATACATTACATACATACATACATACATACATCATGCATGCATGCATGCATGCATGCATGCATACATACATACATACATATATCTGTAATTGGGGGTATAGCTTACTGTAGCCATTTACGAAACGTGGGTCCCGCACCCTCCAAGTAGAATAGCCAACAAACAACATGGAAACACACCACGCTGTGTCTTAAAATAGATCACAAGTGATGACTAAGTGACTAGGCAATAGATTCTGGCGCACCTAAAATTTTCAGGCTAACATACATTTCAAGGATATGTTCACATATCCAACTTGGATGTACCAACCACTAGAGTTTATAGAGTTTATGTAAGGCCTTTATTGAGTTTTTTTCGTTCACCATCTTGGGACAATTTTCCACACTGCCTCCATCTGCCTACATTTGGAAAACCAGAAACAAATTGATCCACTGAAAGGAAGATCATGAAATCCTAACCTCCATGGGTATATCCACGTGACAATAATCCCATCCCCCGTTCTTTTATTTCAACACCCCCATGGTATTTCTCAATGTGGAAATCCATCACTAAACCATGGTTCAATGTGAACGGAGGATGGGATTATTCATCAAAAACAAAAACAGATTGAGTCCAGCGTGGCTGGGTTGTGTGGCTGGGAATTTTCGAGAACAGGGCAACCCACAAATGTCCTGCAAAAACAACGAGAAACACACGTGATGGATCATCATCCCACTTAATAACTGGAACTGGTTGGTATCTGGGGTTATAACTTTGTAACCCTATATCAAATATAGTTATATATATATAGTTATATATATATATATGTATATATATAATATAATATATATATATTTATTTATTACAATAACCCCACTGAATGGGGATTTCCTAACTGGGGTCATGAACCACAACCACGAGGACCTTTTTGGATGATCCTCCAAGTAGAGCCCGCGCTGGAAACCGCGCTGCGCGCTTTTTGTGAACCCCGCAGTGAACCGCGCAGTAGAAGGAGTCGGGGGTCAACAAATATCCATGGTTAATAGTTCTTCTTAGGATATATATATATATGCATATATATATATAATTATATATATATATATGTCCATGCTACAATAGCTTTTGGGTTGGTGCAAAAAAAAAGGAGGCGACTTGGAAAGGGAGCCGGAGCAGAGTGCAATGAAAAATATGTCCATAGTATTATAGTAAATCATATACTATACAGACTATACACATAGAAAATATCTAACCAATTATATAACCACAACATATCCATGTGGAGGTTTCCAAAGTCTTGGGGGTACCCGAAATCATCCATGTTAGTAGACCATGACTTAGTACTGAAATCCAGGGTGACTTGGGGATCACCCATTTTAAAAGAAACCCACATATTTTTGTGGGGTCAGATTTAGGGTGGCTCTGTATGATTTACCCAACCCCTGGATCGTACTTTTTTTGGTCGCTGCTAAAACAAGAAGTGTTTCCATCCCGCACAATTTCAACAGCCCCCAGAAAAGACATTTGGGACCATAGAATGGGCTTGTTTTTCATGTTTTTGGTGAATGTGATCTCTCTCTGAAACTCACAAGGTTGGTGACCAGCGTCCCTCTGTCCTCACTTCGAGAATACATATCCTTCAGAAACTTGGTGTGATCCTCAGGGCCAACGGACGTGCTTGAGGTGCTTGAGGTAAGATTTCTTGGTGACTTCGAATAGATCAAATTGAGCCCTCAAAGCTTCCTGGAACATGGCTATGATCATTCAAATATTCTACGACATGAATGACATGAATCAAGATTTCGACAGAGAAACATTTTCTGGTGCCCTAAAAATTGGTCATCTGGTCATCTGGTCCCAAAAAATACGGAATTCTACGTATGAAACCCAAGTCCACCGAAGCTGCTTCGACTTGAGTCCACCACTTTTTGCTGGCTTTCCGATGCAGGAATCCCATGAATTTCCAATAATTTCCCTGGCTAAATCGCTTGGAGAAGTGCTGTATGCTACCGTTGACCTTGAGATGAGGACAATATGCCTCCATGAAACCAATTGAAAAGAATTTTCACCCGGAGAATACATGAGAATACTCATCTTTTCACCCCATCATCCTTTTTTTGCACACCTCAAACTCAAACTTTTCTGGTACTTTGTGAGTTTTGTCGGATTCTCTTCGAGGTGAGTTTTCGCTACTTCAAATGAAAATCATATAGGATTATCTCATGGTTACTATTCTTATTTGGGGACCAAAAATGGGATCGTTTTTTTCTTGCAATGATATAATTAAGGTAAGGGTATCCTTTAAAAAATGGATCACCTTAATGATATACGTATCATGCAGTATCCACTCTTGGTTCGTGAAATGTCTATGGGGTAGTTGTAACAAAAACAATGTTGCAAGTATAGTCACTCTTATATATCCACTATTGGCTAGTTATATACTCACTATATGTCCATCTTGATGTTTTCTTGGGTGGACGGGATTCTTCGTGAAAAGGTAACAGAGGTCATATCTCAAAGCGCACTGAGCCTCGGACACTTGGGGCACTTGGTGCACTTGGGGCTGGTTGTGAAGGGCTGGCACCCCCGCCCTGCACCGGAATTTCCAACCCGGGGCACGGCACGGGGGGAAGCATCTTCCCTGAGATGGCTTAAATGAAACTCATGGTGTTTTTTTCTATTGATATTCCCATCGAAAATCCAATGACACACTATACCAAAACTGAGATAATATACAGTAAATATGTCTATGGGATGCTATGGGCAAAAAGGGCAAAAATTGGCTACCCATGGCCCATGGAGCCACAAAATTGGACATGTTATGTTAAGTATCACACCATGTACAGGGGCTGTAAAATAAACAAAGCTGTACTAAAATATCATTCGGCACTCAGGTGAATGGACATCATGCCAATAAACGAGATACTTTGTGTTTTTTGGCTCAAAACATGAGGATGACTTGCTCATTGTCATCCATCCCAGAATGGGAATCCTTACAGCTATACAAAAAAATCCAGTAATGGATCGATGACGAACCCTCTGAAAAACAAACAAACATGTTGTGACCGTTCATGGCACATGTGCAGTCAAGAAGTGTGGGCATGGAGAAATCATCTTTCGGTAGCTTCGAAATTCGTTGGAACCTCGTTCGCGCATATGCTTCGACAGCTTAGACGTGTTTGCTTTGAGCCGCTGACCCTCCTAGTACCAGGATCATAGTGATGCATGGCTTTTCAAATCATCACTGGAGGTTTTATAGATGATTTTCACAGTAAAACCTCCAGTGATGCTCTCTTCCCGAACGCGACTTTGTAGTTTTTGAAGACATCATCCGATGATTCTGGGGAAAATTCATTGCTATCCCGGATATATGAACTATACAGAAGCCTAAGAATTACACCCAGCTAACTGGTTAGTAACCCCTATATTTACCCAGAACTAGACGACGGATGGCCCGAGAGCGTAGAGGAGCAGGGTCTTCTCTTGTTAGTATGGAGACGCAATATTAGAAACGATATATGAAAGCTCTGTTATAGGCAGTCGAGAAGAGGAGTATCAAGACAGGACAGTGAGAAGTGCAAGACAGTAGTTTGCATCGCAAACACTTTTACAAACAGACGCTTTTTACACACAGACGCTTTTAAACACAAAGCTTTTACACACAGAGGCTTTACACACAGAGGCTTTTACACAAACACTGTAACACAAACACTTTTACACACAGAAGCTTTTACATACAAACACTTTTACGCACAGACGCTTTTACACACAAACCCTTTGACACACAGACGCTTTTACACACAGACGCTTTTTACACACAGACGCTTTTTACACACAGACGCTGTCACACACAAACACATGTACACACAGAGGCTTTTACACAAACACTTTTACACAAACACTTTTACACAAACACTTTTACACACAGAAGCTTTTACATACAAACACTTTTACACACAGACGCTTGTACACACAAACGCTTTGACACACAGACGCTTTTACACACAGACAACCTCTACACACAGACGCTTTTTACACGCAAACGCTTTCACACACAAACACATTTACACACAGAGGCTTTTACACAGAAACACTTGAACACAAACACTGTAACACACAAACACATTTACACACAGACGCTTTTACACACAGACACTTTGACACACAGACGCTTTTACACACAGACGCTTTTACACACAGAGACTTTTACACACAGACGCTTTTTACACACAGGCGCTTTTACACACAGACAAGAACGGCACAAGTAAAATCGCACTTTTACCTCAGTTTTTGCCGCTCGACCCTCATTTCGCGCGAAAGGGTTGCTCCAGGACAAGTCAAATCGCAGTTTTACCTCAGTTTTTGCCGATCGACCCTCATTTCGTGCGAAAGGGTTGCTTTAGCACACGTAAAATCGCAGTTTTACCTCAGTTTTTGCCGATCGACCCTCATTTCGTGCGAAAGGGTTGCTCCAGGACAAGTCAAATCGCAGTTTTACCTCAGTTTTTGCCGATCGACCCTCATTTCGTGCGACAGGGTTGCTCCAGGACAAGTCAAATCGCAGTTTTACCTCAGTTTTTGCCGATCGACCCTCATTTCGTGCGAAAGGGTTGCTTTAGCACACGTAAAATCGCAGTTTTACCTCAGTTTTTGCCGATCGACCCTCATTTCGTGCGAAAGGGTTGCTCCGGGGCAAGTCAAATCGCAATTTTACCTCAGTTTTTGCCGATCGACCCTCATTTCGTGCGAAAGGGTTGGCGTTTCGTGACTCGCCGCCGGCACCACCCTCGGCCTTAAGAGAGAAAGATAAAAAGAAGGCGTGAGAGAGAAGGTGAGCAGGTGTGAAGATAAGAAGATGTGAAGATGAGCATATGTGAAGATGAGCAGATGTGAAGATGAGCAGATGTGAAGATGGGAAGGTGTGAAGATGAGCAGATGTGAAGATGAGAAGATGTGAAGATGGGAAGGTGTGAAGATGAGCAGATGTGAAGATGAGCAGATGTGAAGATGAGCAGATGTGAAGATGAACAGATGTGAAGATGAGAAGATGTGAAGATGAGCAGATGTGAAGATGAGCAGATGTGAAGATGAGCAGATGTGAAGATGAGAAGATGTGAAGATAAGAAGATGTGAAGATGAGCAGATGTGAAGATGAGCAGATGTGAAGATGAGCAGATGTGAAGATGAGAAGATGTGAAGATGAGCAGATGTGAAGATGAGCAGATGTGAAGATGAGCAGGTGTGAAGATAAGAAGATGTGAAGATGAGCAGATGTGAAGATGAGCAGATGTGAAGATGAGCAGATGTGAAGATGAGCAGATGTGAAGATGAGAAGATGTGAAGATGGCAGATGTGAAGATGAGCAGATGTGAAGATGAGATGAGCAGATGTGAAGATGAGGAAGGTGTGAAGATGAGCAGATGTGAAGATGAAGGTGTGAAGATGATGTGAAGATGAGAGGATGTGAAGATGAGAGGATGTGAAGATGAGAGGATGTAAAGATGAAAAGATGTGAAGATGAGAGGATGTGAAGATGAGATGGAAGATGTGAAGATGAGATGTGAAGATGAGAAGATGTTTTACAGACCCCCACTATTGGAAGAACCCTGCGCTCAGACGCTCTCGGGAAAAACCATAAATTATCAATTGTATCCCTAATTGTTTTCAGTGTTCATAGGTTAAACCCAATAAAGCCCCGAGAATGGATGGGTAGATCCCACGAAAAAATCCATTGAATCCAACTAAAATCCATGAAATCACACCTATCAGTTACTATAATTGTTTGTTCCATGAACAAGTCCACTTAAAGTTCCATTTTTTGTTCCATATATCCCTAAATACCCTCTGGTAATTTAACATAGCTATTGAAAATTACCATTTATAGTGGATTTACCAATTGAAAAAGGTGATTTTCCATAGTTATGTTAGTTTACCAGAGGGTAATTCCATCATCCAAAGACATTCCACCCATCGAAAACGTCACCGTTGGTTTCTTCGTCACACCTGACCGGGCCCGGCCATGGTTTCTTCGTCCATGAGCTCACCTTGGTGACATCCAGAAAGCCCGAACTACCCGCAGAGGTGACTAAGAGTGGTTAATAGTGATCTGGTTGGTGCAAGGTGGTGCCCCCAAGATAGCTAGGTTGGTGAACATAACTCCAATAACTATGGTTTATAGGTGATATATCTATAGTTAATGGGTTTTTAACTAATTTATAATTGGAGGGGGCACCACCTTGTGGTTTCAACCCATCTGAAAAATATGAAAATCAGTTGGGGTGATTCTTCCCATATGGAAAAAATAAAAATGTTCCAAACCACCAACCAGTGACTAATAAACATAATAGGTTTTGACCTACAAAACCCAAACCAAGTTTCCATTGTTGGACCACCAAAATTCTAGGGTTCTAGGTTCGCTAGCTAACAAATTATAGTGATTAATGGTGATTAAACTGAAAGATGTAGCCTCAAATCAACAGTTTGCCATGGAAAATCACAATGTTTTAATAGGTAAATCAACTATTTCTATGGCCAGTTCCAATACGTTAAATTACCAGAGGGTAGTTCTTATACATTTCTAATAACATCTCTGGATGAATTATAGCTTGCTATAGGAGAATTAGTTATTGGAGTAATCTTCACCTATCAAATTATGTATAAAAGAACCGAATGTGCAGATCATCAGCTGACAAACAAAACATCGCCCTACAAATATGGTTTTCTCCGCCATTTGGGTTTGTCTGAAAAAAGTGATATGGAGGTTTCCTGAAATGTTTTTTTTCCAAATAATTCATGTTATTGTCGGATTTTCCATGAAATAAACCATCTATTTGGTGGTAGCCCCATTTATGGAACCCCCCGTATCCCTGAATCCCTTGGTTGATCATTCTTCCCTGTTCAAATTGCCATAAAATGCGCCGGGAATAGCAGGGGTCATCGGGGTCATCCTCTTCTGGGACGACCAAAAAAAACCAGAAGTGGGGCCGACAAGGACACCGTTCACTGATGCTTGTGATTTAAAGTTGCTTTCTATACATATATGTATATATATGAATACATATATATATATATGTATACAAACCTACACTATGTAAACTGTATATATATATACACATATATATATATAGATCCTTATATTCCCAGTAAGGCCGCCAAATATGGTGGATCACCTCCAGCAGATCCAGGACCCGGACCAGCTGCAGGTCCGCTTCACAGAGGCAGAGAACTTTCAGAGCCAGAAGCTGTGGCAAGTTCAACGCACCATTTTCAGATGGTTGATGTTTATTTATATATATATATATTTAAGTATAATACAATAATACATATATATATATATAGTATATATATAATATAATGCATTTTAATTGTATACATATACGTATGTGGAACAGCTTCAGGAAAAAAAACATGTTTGGGCAATGAATGAAACATATTGAAACAGAACTTATATGGCATGGTTGCTGGTATCCCAAAAATCGCCTCCATTTGCCTCCACCTGGCACTGTCAAGAGGGCGCTGGGGAAGGAGGTGGCACCATGTTTTCGTCACTTCATAGTATATTTATATATATGGTCTATGTATATATTTAGTATATTTATATATCACTTCATAGTATATTTATATAACATGTTTGTGTCTATATTTAATCACCATGTAACAGGGATTGAAGTCACCAACATGGTGATTTTTTCTGAGAATCTAGTCGGATATAATGGGACCATGATGGTAAATATATACCCTCCTGAAATCAGAGATGGCTTCCTAAAAATTCCCTATGTGTATCATATGTTTCCCAATACCTCCATTACATTGCCAATCTTAGATAGAAAAAAAAACTTTGCTGGTGAACATAGATATTCCGATTAATACCAAAAGACTAGTTAGGATTAGTTTGTATCCATGTAAGATTGACCTAGATTATTAGTTAGTGGATTTATCCATTTAAAATGGTGATTTTCCATAGTTATGTAACAGTTTACCAGAGGGTATTAGTGGATTGTCCATGGACGTGTTTGATGACTGAATGGTAGGTGAACAGGTCGTGGCTGCCACGTTGCTTTGGGTTGTAAAACCCAAAGCAAAGCCCGTGACAAGCGGGCGATGTCACTCGTGTTCATCGTATCGTTTCATCGTTTCTCAACGACTTTATGTGTTGAATAATGTTGAAGATATGTACCCTCTGGAATTGAATAAATAATGTGCGTAAGACAATCATAAACTAGCCCCCAAATCATCATAAATCGATGAAAAAAAACATTCCCAGTCATGGGTGGTTTATTGTTTTACCCACATTAGATTCATATAACAATGGACTTTATGGCCCATTTAGAGATGTCTTTCCCCAGGAAACCTTCGATTAGGTCCCAACGAAGCTGGACCTTTTTCAAACCGTGGAACTGGTTGGTGCTTTCAACCTACCATTGGTTGGTAATATGCACCAACCAGTGATATATTAATGGTAATTACTATATATCTACTATATATCTACTATATATGTGCTATATGTTCTATATATATATATGGAACATGATGTATATATATATATATATGTATCAAGAATTCAGCATGTAGGCCGCAGCGACAGCTACTTCATGCCTCATGAGAAAAAAATATATATACAATGTCAGGCCCCCTAGATAGCTAAGTTGGTGAACATAACTCCTATAATTATGGTTTATGGTACTTATAACTATAGTTACTGGGGCGAATCTAAACCAACTAGCATCACTGGGGGGCCTCACATTGTACCATTGGTTGGTAATATGCTATTAATATAATCTGGTTGGTGGTTGAGTTTCAACCCCTCTGAAGAATGATGCACTTCGTCAATGGGTTTTGGATGACATCCCATATATGAAATGGAAAATAATCCAGCCATGTTTGAAACCACCAACCAGTTGATTATTAATCATTATTAACATTTATTAACCATCATTAACCATCATTACCCTATAATAAACCAATGTTTGAAACAGGTGGAGATTTGTTGACCTGGCAATTCGTTTCGAATCGCGTTCGCTGGTGAAGGGACGAATTTTACTGCGGAAGATTCGTTCGTCCAGTATCTGTCTACCCTCTGGTAAACATACAAAAAAACATGGAAAACCACCTTATTTTTAATGGGTAAATCCACTATTTCTATGGCCATTTTCAATAGCTATGTTAGTTTACCAGTATCTAACCGTTAGGTTGACCCAGTCTATGGCAACTATTGTGAGTTTGTGGTTTCTCTTCATTCCAAACATCTGAAATAACTAGACTCGACTTGTGAACTCGACTTGGGTTCATCATCCACAATCGGGATGTAGCATCGAATCATCGACATATTCCACAGCACAACCAGTTGTTTGGAATTTGTTTTAGAAAATCCTGGATGATCTCCTGCTTTCAACACTTACCACAGTCATCCACAGTCTGTATTGCTATATCAAACCCTATGGATCCAAACACTGTCTCAGAAGGTACTTAACCCCCTAGTCATCATACCCCAGTCACACTTCCTTTCAGAAGCTACGGCTGGATCCATAGGGAAATCAAATGTTGAAGCAGTGTTTGCATGAATTTTAGCTACCACTTGACTTATTTTCACAGACTATTCACTCAGATTTACCCAAAAAAAAAACGCTCCAGCCCACTGCACCTCGGCATGCACTTCCTGGACACAGGAGTCAGGGGAATGTCACTGCTGGGAAAGAAAAACAACAAACGATTGCTTGGTGGTTTACCTTCCACGGTTTTTTGGAAGACCATGTTCCTATCCTAATTATGTTCAACAAGCTTTCAGAGCCCACTAGCAAGACACCGGCCCGGTGGTTCAATTTCCCGCTAAAAATGCTAGTTTTGGATAGAACCTTCCTATTGAAACAGTCTTAACACATATCAGCTATCTTGAACTATCTTAGATTTTGTCTACGCATCTCAACAAATCACTGAATATGTGTCAACATCACAGTAACTCAAGATCATCCAAAGAAAACTTACATATCTCAACATGCATCTGTTAAGAACATCAACAGAAAAAGCTCCAAACCAGTTTGTCTGAAAATTGGGTGCCCCTATATAAATCCATTGCTTAATTGGTGAATCATCATGATTCCTATTAAATTGCAACAAGTTGGGAGTATACCTTTTTTTTGGACAAACCAAAATGGCTATGAGTCAAAACCCTCCCAAAAACGCGGATGGTACCTTAAAATGGATGGTTCTTCCCCCAATCATATGGTAATTTCATAGCTGTTGATCCATCCCCAATGCTGGATTCATGTCCTCTCCAAGAAGATGGACAAGTAAAAAACACTTTAAATTTGATGATGATACGGATGGGCCAGCGAAATCCGAATCACCAGTTCATAGGTGGTTTTTATCCCACTATTTACAAGCTTGAAACTACCATCCCAGGTGGTGTAGGATTTCGCAACCATCCACAGTATGTACCTTTCATTACCTTTCTAGAGCGGGTAACACCAACCACCACGAACCAACGTTCATGCCAACGTCTATTACCATTATTGCCAGTTAGTCATATTGTGAATGGTCAGGTTCGCCAAAACTTCTAGTAACATCTCAAAAAAGCCCTTGATATGGTCAAATTGGATTATGAATCTAGATGGGAAGAGTAATTAACAAACAAAGACACGTGACCTGTGACTGTGAAACTGCAAAAGACATCAACAAATAGCCCAAGAAAAAAAAAAACAAATCATCTGGGTAAATTATAATATTTCACTAACCTGAATTGTTCGGCCATATTGGGATGATTTCCCTCAAATAAACCATGATTCCAGGGCTCGGTCACAGTGAGGTCGTGATCAAATTTACCCAGATATCCAGATATGCTTATCATATATATATATATATATTACTAACCACTATTAACCATTACTAACCACTATTAATCTATATATGATGAATTGGTCATTACCCAGAAATCATGCTTGGTCATTGCCGGGTCCTTCGTTTTTTTGGCTTTCCCAAATCCTCCAGCCCGAGCTGGTCCCATGGCATCCCTCTGGTCCTATGATGTCCTATGCATCCATTGTCTGAGAAGCTATGGCTGGATCCGTAGGGCTAGTTACAATCATAGTGAGAAAACAACGTTATTAATAACCATAGTTATAACTTCATAATATTGATAAACTCAATGTAGATTGATATGTTCTTATATTTATGTAGAAACTACATAATTGACTATGGATTATTATGACCATAGAGCTGGATCCATATCCCTTAATGAGATTTAATGTGCTTAAAACAATCATCAACCATCCGCAAAATCACCATTTTTATGGTACAAATCATCAAACATGTGGTTGTTTATTAATGCTTTTTATTGTTTTACCAACATTCGATTAATATATAGCAATGGACAATGATCCATAGCTATAATTTATATCCCATTCATAATCCCACTGGCGTAATCCCATGAATGAACAATCCCTTAATCCCCAAAATCACCATAAATGGATGGTACAAACCATCCAAAATGGGGTCGTTTATTATCTGGTTGGTGGTTTCAACCCCTCTGAAAAAGATGAGAGTCAGTTGGGATGATGAAATTCCCATATGGAAAGTCATACAATTCATGTTCCAAACCACCAGCCAGTATAAGTATATAATCCCTATGGATCCATGGCCACTGTCTGAGAAGGTACGGCTAACCACCTAGTCATCATACCCCAGTCACACTTCCTAAGAAGAAACTCCTATAACTGGTTGGTTATGTGTCATGAAATTTCATGAAATTTCATTCATGAAATCACAGAAACAAAATCACTGTTAGTTGAGGGCATTGTTTTACCAACATTAGCTTTTGACCAATCCCCCCTTATATGGAAAATATATGACCAATGATTCTTCCCACATATGACATGGAACATAAAATTCATGTTCCAAAAGCACCAACCAGTGATATATTAATGGTGATTACTACAGCTACATATATCTATATATCTACTATATGTTCCATATATATCTATGGAAAATGAGATATATATCTACAATGTGGCCCCCCCAGTAATAAGTTGGTTTATAAGCCCCAGTAACTATAGTTATAAGTACCATAAACCATAGTGAAATTGGAGTTATGTTCACCAACTTAGCTATCTAGGGGGCCTCACATTGTATATATATATGTCATTTTCCATAGATATATAGTAGATATATAGTAGATATATAGTAATCACCATCAATATACATAATATTATATATATACTATATATCTACTATATGTTCTATATATCTATGGAAAATGATAGATACACATAATATATATATATACCCCCAGTTATAAGTTGCTTTATAAGCCCCAGTAACTATAGTTATAAGTACCATAATATTTATAGATGTATACATAATATATAGATCCGTATATTCCCAGCAACGCCCCCAATTGACCGTTCTCCCCTGGCCTCCTCAGCTTGCACTTGCGACAAGGTCAGCAACCGCTCCACCGAGGCGAACTGCGCCAGGGCACGGGTGCCGTAGTTCACCAGGTACTTGGCCTCCGCTGGAAACCCTGGTTTAATAGGAAAACCATAGGAAAACCATAGGAAAATGGTGGTTTAATGGGATTTAATGGGGATTTCATGTGGATTTCATGGGATTTAATGGCTTTAGTAAGGAAGGGAACCATTGTGAAAATGGAGATTTACGCACTCAAAAATCTATGATAGGTAAGTTGGTTTATAACATGTTATAACTACGTAGCTTAACTCTTGCATCTATGGTAGATATACCGAACTAGTATGAACTAGTTGGCTTTCGAAACCAACTTGGAACTTTTCACACCGCCTCATGGAAGCTCGATTTTTTCAAACCATGGGTTTTCCCGAAAAAACATCTTCCCCTCCTCAGATCCCATGACGGATCCGGCTGGTGCTGGTATACTAATGCTAACATGACTGGGGTTAATCTTGATGGGATCCATGGCACACCATATATAGCAGCACCAGCCGGATCCGTCATGGGGATATCAACTGACAAGGCATCCACAGTGCGGTACCCAACTCCCAAGGCCCTAACCAATGCTGTCAGCGTCAAAGCCTTAGACGCTGAAAAAACGCTGAGACGCTGAGCTGGGGATTCAACCAGTCGCCACCGAAAGGAAGAGCCTCGTTAAATAATATATGGTTAATATATGGTCAATATATGGTTATTATATGGTTATAAAAACCCACTGATACTGATACAGGACCCCAAAAATGAATTCATCTGGCCGCTAGGGCGTTAAGGGTGGTATTTGATATTAAGGGAAAGGGTTGAATGAGGGATTATCAAGCACCAACAACCACTGATAAGGGCTTGTTGACATTGACCATTCATAATGGTTGTAAATGGCTATGAGGCTGTAAATGGCTACGATGCTGTACATGTGATGTTTTACCAGCCAAAAATGCGGCTATAACTATGAATCCAAGCATAATGGTGGATGGGGATATATACATATATATATATATAAGACACTTTAAAAATCTCAAAAATAAAACGATGCATGTATAAATTTTAACTACAACGGCTATTTTTATAGTAGATCTTTTATCAACAGTGGCTATGAAAAAAAACACCCATGCTACGAGGTTTTTTTTGCCCAAAGAGGCCATGAAGGGCAAATCTTTACCACCAACCACGGTTGGAAAAAAAACAACGAATCTTTCGTGGCTGAAAAGAGCTAAGCAGTTGGGATACCATTGGGATACCATGACCTTGAGTAGTTCAGAGTATCTCAGAAAAATGACGGAATATAAAGAATGGAAGCCAGCCAAGTGCAATGTAGATACTGCAATTGCTTCTGCATTAGGTCCAATAGGCCTATACAATGTGGGCCCCCAGTTATCAGTTGGTTTATAACACCCATGAATACTATAGTTATTACCCTCTGGTAAACCAACATAACTATGGATCATCATCATTTTTATATAATGGGTAAATCAACTATTTCTATGGCCATTTTCAATAGCTTTTTGTATGTTTACCAGAGGGTAAGGTATCATAAGCGATACAAACACTGGAGTTACGTTCACCAAGTTAGGCAGCCACACGGCCACCAGTGCTGTCCCGATTTCGATGTGATGACCGATGATTGGATTCGATGTGGACATGGGATAGATTGATTGTGATTGATGTCCCTAGCAGAAAAGTTGGAGAACTAAATCATCCCAAGTAGAAGGTTTCTTTCCTTGTGGTGGTAAAAAAAAAACTGTTACTGCAAACGCTGAGTTCCAAGTGAAGTTGTCCAACATTGTTTTACAGCTGTGGCCCTTTACAGTACCAGTTATGAGTCTGTCATAACCCCTTTTGTGGAATGATAACCCCACTTACAACCATTTATAACCATTCATAATCATTGAATTATAACCATTTATAACCATTCATAACAATTTAATTATACCCATTTATAACCATTTATAATCATTTAATTATAACCATTTATAACCATTTTTATAACCATTTATAATCATTTATAAATATTTATAGCCATTTATAACCATTTATAACCATTTATAACTGGTAAAGGCTTTAACTGCAACGGGTTTCTTTGTAGGGGGTGAATCCTCGCCCCCCCCCTTCCACGCCCTTCCTCCGCCGGGCAACGTATGTCAAGGAGAGACCCGACATGCCGAGATGTGCGGTCCGCCACCCGCTGGTCATTGCCACGCAGAACAGCATCACTGCACCAATGATCTCCTACGACCGTAAAGCTCCACCCTGGGGGAAGCATTTGATGATTGAACTTCTGAATCTACCCCATTCCTATTGTAACTATGGATGATTTATAAATGGATGATTTATACATGGATGATTTATAAATGGATAATTTATAAATGGATGATTCATAATCTGGACAATTCCTATTATAACTATGGATGGTTCATTATCATAATCATATTTCATGGACACTTCCTATGATAAATGGATGATTTATGATGACTGGTTGGTGGTTGACCTACCCTTCTGAAAAATATGAGTTCGTCAGTTGGGATGATGAACTTCCCAACTGAATGGAAAAAAAAATCATGTTCCAAACCACCAACCAGATTTTATGGTGACCTAATGCCCCATGATTTTCCTTGGAACATCTGCAAGAAAACCGTGAAAATATTTCAGATGGTGAACACAATCCCATTCCCCTGCAGATTTTCCTACCATTCCAATGATACTGGGGATATGATGGGATAAAAAACCAACAACGACGAATATCTCTTGGATTCAGATGTGTTTTCATGTGTGCAGATGTACGAAAATTCGGCATGCATGACGTGTGCATTATACAGCATACGCACAGCATATACATTCGATTCCCAGTCCTCTCCAATGCTATGGTAATGGCATTGTACAGCATACCTAAAGCATACCATCCCATATGGACATGGATTGATGCGTCATGATGCGTCTTTGTCAGATATGAAATCTGTACATTGGCTTCTATTTGCACACTTCCATACACCTCCACTATTTGGTCACTTCCATACACCTCCATACTGAAATGTACAGTACACTGTAAATCATTCTGGTTGATCTTTTGATTATTCTAAGATGGGACGCATCTCAATATTGCAACGTATATATGCATTTTAAACAGATCATCATGTGGACAATGGGTATGGTTTGAAGACAACACCTCACATTTGGGTATTCACCCACATCTCAACCTGTCATCCATCCAGCCTATCTTTGGGATGTACATTAGTGCGGATGAAGTGAACCCTAAAGTCCCAACTCTGCTTCGCTGAAACAGTTTCCGAAGCCTGTGGACTAGTTCGAATATTGTCGATTCATGTTTCTTGACACACCCATGACATGGATTTGTCCATAGAGTACCCCAAATGCCAATGGTTTGTCATGATGTTCGACATTTGATAATGGAAGAATGCAAGATTCAAAACCTCATGTTCACCATCTATCATTAAGTAAATCGGTTCAATCCCCCATTCTGGACCCACATGTCATATTGTTGGTGAAATATATCCCACATATCCCAGCAAATACCTTGGCAATTCTGAATTTTCACCATTAAACTAGAAAAAACATACCCTCCGGTAAACTAACATAGCTATTGAAAATGACCATAGAAATAGTTGGTTTACCCATTAAAAATTGTGATTTTCCATAGTTATGTAAACGTTTACCAGAGGGCAGCCATAAATTGCTATACCCTCCAGATGTCAAACATGGAATTGGATGGTGTAACACAAACATCGTCTTAGGGAAGCTCGATAGATCTACCACAACTTCAAGCAACTTAGCTATCTAACTGGGGGGTCATCCACCATTAAATACGATCGTCTCATATAATTATATATATATATATCCCTATGGATCCAAACACTGTGTCAGAAGGTACTTAACCATCTAAATCATACCCCGAACACTTCCTAAGAAGGCACTTGGATCCATATGGTATATACATAAGTTACTAAATCCATCATATATCCGATGATACAGCATATTGACATCCCACACCTTTGCCGTTTCTTATTGATCTTATTGCGCAGCCGACCATGGATCGAGCAAAACTTGGCTCCAGCTGCAAGGCAAACCAACGCTGCAAGGCCACATTCAAAATCTGCGAGCGAGCGTTCACCTGCTTCAAGGTGAAATTGCACCCAGGATTTGTCAATGGGTCAAACACCCAAATATTATATGTCTATATGTTATATTATATGTATTATGTTCTATATATATATATATATATGTGGAATCTGAATATTATATATTCTATGTATACCCTATGGAAATCATACCCCCAAACACTTCCTAGGAAGGTACGGCTGGATCCATAGGGATATATATGTATATATGAAATGTGGGTTATATATCTGGGTAAATTATAATATTTCACTAACCTGAATAGTTCGGCCATTTGGGGATGATTTCCCTTATTAACTACAATGTGAGGCCCCCTAGATAGCTAAGTTGGTTTATAACTCCAATAACTATGGTTTGTGGTACTTATATCTATAGTTACTGGGGCGAATCTAAACCAACTAACATCACTGGGGGGGGCCACATTGTATGATTCCAGTGAGGGAGAACAGTGAGGTCGTTATAATTTACCCAGATATCCAGATATGCTTATAATATATATTACTAACCACTATTAACCATTACTAACCACTATTAATCTATATATGATATTATATATAGTCTATCATATATATATATGAAATGTGGGTTATTTTTGGATTAAAAACCACGGCTCCGATGACGCCATGTTTGTCCAGGACTTGTGCGCTTGTTGATGGGTAGCCTCTGCTTCTGACTAACAAAAAGCTGTTGAAAAGCACCATTTTGAACGTGGATTTTCCCATGAAAAATTGTGATTTTCCAGAGTTTTTTTTGTAGATATCCAATATTTATATACTATATATATATATATCCAATATTCTCCAATTACTTTAGAAGCTTTGGAACTTGGAATTGTCAAAAATTGGGAATACTAGGTAAATCATGAGGTTTATCATCTACTTTGCTCTCTGGCTATTTTCCATAGCAAACTCTTAAATAACCATAGGGTCGTTGAGATAGAACCCCTCGAACGATAGTTAAATGTGACATACCCACTTACATCCATCGAAAAAAAAACGTGAGATCCATACCTTTTGGTGATATTTGGATGGTCCATTTTTTCCACGTATTGTGGATCAAGGTCATCCAAAATATTGAAACATGATCAAATATGGAGTTTCCAATATCTAAAAATGATCATATTGGCCAAATTTTGGAGTTTCCACTTGAAAAAACACATATATCATCATATCTCAAATATGGATTATCCATTCTTCCTGGTTGGCCATTTTGGCCAATGTTCACTTGGCAAAAGGAAGAACACCTTTTAGATGAGGACATCGTCTATCGAGGACGCGTGTTTTTTCAGTGTTAGAGTGCCTTACTCAACATTGAACAAAGTGGGGCCTCCGTTTACGATAGCTAAGTTGGTTTATAAACTCCCACTACGGTGGTTCTATGATACTTATAACTACAGTATGCACAGTATTCATGGGGTTTATAAGCCAACTTATAACTGGGGGGCGGTATATCATACCCTCCTAGCACCAGTACTGTCAAAAAACAAACAAGTATGGTGGTATGGACAGTTTCCACTTCTGGCAATGCAGGATTTGACAATTTCATGGCCCATATATCTAAATCGACTGCAGGATTTGATGGCCCATAAATCTAAATCGACTGGATTTGATGGCCCATATATCTAAATCGACTGCAGGATTTCATGGCCCATATATCATATATATCTAAATCGACTGGATTTGATGGCAGGATAATTCTTGCACCAAAGCCTGAATTCATGACACCAAATCATCGCAGAAATGTCCTACACATTGAACACATTGTGGAGACGTACACCGTTCACCAAATGGAACAAAACAGAAATGTCCCCGTTCCTTTAAACACTGGGACGAAGGTTTTTAACATGGTGAACTTACATATGGGTTTATAGTTCCCATGTAAGTTTCAACTATAAGTTATCAACATGTAAGGTTTCCAAAACACTGCTCATATGATGTTGATAACTTACATGGGACATGTGACACTAGTGAAAATTTCACTGGTTAGCGGTTTTGATCCCCACAAACATCGCAGAAAAATGCTGCACGGCGGTGCCCACCAGTCCTGAAACACTTGGCCGAGCTAGTTCAACCAACTGGGGCACCACCATTACATCCGATTGTATTCCCATGTGTACATATATATATAATATATACAAATCCATAGCTATATCATCGGATTATACATCCTATCAATATCTCACATGACTGATGGATGCCAATATCACATATACATCAAACCCTTACTTTATCCTCTTGCTTAACTGGGTCAAATGGCAATAATACCCCCTAACCCCACATAAATCCCATCAAATCCCATGAAATTAGATTTTATGCTGGGGTACCCTAGAGTAAACTAACATAGATTTGGAACCATTTGTAGATGATGTTCCGAACGGGAAACCATTGGTTTTCCACATCTTTCTGTATCTTTACCCTATATGTTTCATGGGATCATCCCATATATTATGTTGGTGATATGCCCATTGTTGTCGCAACAAAATCCCATTAACTCCCATGATATCCCCATATAATTCCATAGAATTCATCGGTATTTCACCCTGGATGTCGGACCTCCAACACGGCCAGAGCATGTCGCATGGCGTCATCACTTCGCCCAAAGCTTCGTAGGTCAGCGCGCCCTGGCGATCGGGTCTTCGTTTAGCCAAAAATAAAACAGGAAAGATGGAATTATCGTAGTGACGAACTGAAACAACAAACGATCCAGCGTGCCAGTGATGTGCAATGTTTTGTCTTTCAATATGTTGCAATGTTTCACAAATCAAACATAAACATAGATCTGGGTAAATTACCCCCTGGTAAATTAACATAGACCCTGAAAATCACCAATTTTTTAATGGAAACTAGTCTTCCAACCCCTATCTGCCAGGGTCTATGTTAATTTACCAGAGGGTATAATATTTCACTAACCTTTGAACAGTTCGGCCATCATTTGGGGATGATTTCCCCAGCAACAAAACCCATGGATTCCAGGGTCCAGGGTTGCGACGTGAGGTCGTGATCAAATTTACCCAGAATGATCAATGGGGATTTCAGGATGCTAAAATGGAGGTACGTTAGTTAGTACCATATGTTTGGCCATATTTTCTGGTGATATTCCCTGAAAAATAGGCCTGAAAATATGGTAGGTACCTCCAATTTAGGTTCCTGAGTCATGGCCATTGAAATGATCTAATATCAGTATATGGCATCTTAGTGGATATAGTATAATGGATAACTAAGTTTCTTTTAAGTAATCTACAACCAAGAAACATGGGGATTAACCAAGAAAAATAGAAATGTGATGGAAGCTAATGGGATTAACTATCATCTATGATTTGGATGATTTGGGTGATTTGGATGATTTGGATGATTTGGATGATTTGGATGATTTGGATGATTTGGATGATTTGGGATTGTAATTATATTGCCAAATAGCTATCCCTATGGATCCAGTACCTTCTTAGGAAGTACGAATGGAGTATGATTTAGGTTAGCCGTACCTTCTCAGACAGTGAGTGTTTGATCCAGAGGGGTACTGTAGGATGACAATATGATGGCTTTATTCCAAACGTTTTTTTCTTGGATTCTTAAATTTATAACGCAATACCATTCAAAACCGATGGAAATGTAGTGGTAAATGTTTCCCCGTTCATATCCCACTAACAATCCATTAATAATTGATCAATTAGTGATGGCTATTAAACCATCAAAAAGGGTATTAACGTATTAAACAATCAAAAAGGGTATTAACGGCAAAAAACACATATCGTTTTTTTTTGAAACATCTCCAAATAGCTAGTTTCTTTTGCATATGTGTTTGCTATCGGAAAATGATCAAAAGGTAGCTCTTTATTTTTTGAAAGGTGAGATGCACCATTCTACTATCAAACAGGTACTACTAGGCATTGGTTCTATCGAAAGATTTTCGAAAATCATTATATAGTGATAGCTATTAAATCATTAGTGATAGATGTTCGAAAGCATAAACATTATTAAATAAATTATTAACCATTAAAATTATTAACCATTATTAAACCATTGTTAAACCATTAGTGATAGCTATTAAACATTAAAGATGATCGAGAAAAAAAAAACAGTTCTGACCTTCCAAGCACTCCAAGAGATGCGCCACCACCGGGCCGTTGAAGACTGACACCAGCCGCGCGGCATCTGAGGCCACCGGGCTGTAGGCAGCAGCCAGGCGCCACATGACCAGCGCTAGGGCGACTGCCTTGGGGACTCGTCCGTCAAAAATGGTGATGTCATGGCCATTTAATGCAGAGTTCATGGGATTTTATGGTGATTTGATAGATGTTTATTCGAATTTGTGATGATTTATGCTGATTTCATGGGATATAGGAAATTCTGCTGATTTATGCTGATTTCATGGGATTTTATGGGTAATTCTGGTGATGTTTAATGAATTTATGGTGATTTAATGTGATTTACTGGAAATTGATTAACTAATTTGACTTATAACTTGAAGGGTTAACTGTTGAGTTTGTGGGGAATAAAACTTATCATATATATTACCAACCACTGTCTGGGACATAAGATAAACATAAAATGTTAGACATGTTAGACATGTTATATATATATATATATCCCGCAATCTTAGGCATTCTCAATCTATCCTTTTAGACCAACTGTAGAAAACTTGTGGCAGAACATTAAGGTTCAGCTTTGGATTTAATCTCAATGGCCATTTTTCCAGGTTCAGGCATGGCATGGCTCTGTGCTCGGTTCCTTCTGATTCCAGGACTTAACTCTCTATTGAATTCTGATGGTTTTCAAAGAGCCGCTTAAGGTAAGCCTTGGTTCTTGTGACCACTAAGCAGCTGGTGAGGAAATTCCGGAAAATTCTATACGTTCCAGAACATTCTATACATTCCAGAAAATCCTTTACATAATATCTGGATATATCTGGACCTTCTAGGGCCTTTCTGTGAAACTTACTGTATAGCTCTGGATCACAATGACAGCAATGTGCCAATGCCTAGGTCCCGAAAGCTCGGTGGCTCTGGCAAGGCATATGTCCGAGTCCAGAGTCGCGCCTTTTCTGCAAAGAGCTCTGGGTGGTGCAATTGAAGAGCAGCAGCTTCAACGTTCATGGGATCGTAGGGCTCCGGTGTCGCAAGCAAGGCCAGGACCGACAGCACCAACTTGTCAAGAGTCAGCGCGGGGGTCGAGTACTCGGCGGACAAAATATCAAGGCACACCTCCCCACTTTCCGCTCCAATATTTGGATGAAGGATTTTGGTGAAGATCTTGAACTTGGGCGGATGGTATGGGTAGTCATATGGAATGTCAAACCCAGCTGCAAACCAACCACTCTCGTAGGGTGTGCCCTCTGGGCCCCTCAGGTACACGCCGAAATGTGAAAAGTCCCTTTGGCGAAAATCACACCGGAACAAGTCAGCGGCATACACGGTGGTATCGCTAAGAATCAAAAGGATTTCTTTTGCGACCCGGTCTGGGTTGGCAAGAGGGCGTGATGTCCACTGTCCACACAGAACCGGATGCTGCAGCTTCATCTCGTTCCATCTTGACATGAAATATTTCGTCGAGTGAAAAACATTTTCAATGTAGCTGCTGCTGCTGGACGCAGTTTCATTTTGGGATTTTTGGCGTCGATAACGCACATCTAATGCACATGCCAACTTGAGAGGGAACTGCTGCCACGCCAGAGGCTGCTTGGGAATGCATGTCCAAGAGTCTTCGTCGATCTCAGACAGCTCAACCGGAATCTCAGACAGCTCAACCGGAATCTTGTGGCCATGGCTATCTGTCAAGGTAAACAAGCCAAACAAGTCCTTCCGCTCCACGCCGAACTCCATGAGCTCTGAGCAGACCTGATCCAGTCCAAGGTCCTTGCAGTTCAGTATCAAGCGGTTGGTCAGACCGAAATAGAGGCGCCGTGGTACTTGAATCTCTGCAATCACTGAGGCACCACTCTTCAACAGTGTGTTTCGGAAAGCCTTGATGGTCCTGTCCAAACGCTCATAGCCCCCATCTTTGCTTTCGATGACCGCTCGGATCCGCGCCTCATCAGCCGCATGTCCGCACTTTGCCCTGTGAGTGCATACAGCTCGTCCACCCAGAGAGTAGGTGCCTATCGCTGTGACAAACAACTTCGATTCCAGAGCTTCGTCAACTTCATGCACACACCACAATCGATCGTAAGGATCGGCCTTGGTAGTGTGGACCACCAGCATGCCATGCTCGGGCTTGGAGTGAATAACACTCTTGAAGGGATCCAAGCTCAGCTGGTGTTGGAGAGAGGGTCCCGCACCATCCTCTGGCTGATACTGGGCAAAGGTGCAGCACCAAAGCGCCACCCCATCGCAATCCCAGAGCGGTTGAATTCGGGATGCCCAAGAGGACAAAGAGCTGACTAACTCCTCTACATCTTCGGCCCAAGCATGGGAGATCATCACTTGAGCTTTTAGGGGAGCATGGGCATTCATAAGGAGCGCCACACCACAGCCGAAGCCTCTGGACCAAGGGATCACGAAAAGGCTGTTCACGTCATAGAGGCAAACATGTCCTCGGGTTTCCTTGGCAGCTTTATATTCTTGTGTAGATTGCATGTAGTTGAACAATTCGAGCAGCTGGACATTTGTCATGGCCCATTGGGTTGGGTCGGAGCCCTGCAAGCTCCTGGTGGCACATGGGATTGCATCTGCCAGGAAGTCAGGCCTTTTTGTCTCGAGACTGATGCATCGAAGAACCTTGCCCTGCCCATCCTTGATCTCCACATCCTTGCCCTGCTCATCCTTGATCTCCACATCCTTGCCCTGCCCATCCTTGATCTCCACATCCTTGCCCTGCCCATCCTTGATCTCCACATCCTTGCTCTGCCCATCCTTGATCTCCACATCCTTGCTGTTCACGGTTTCGACGCCGCAGGCGCTGCATGCACTGGCTCCCATGGACCAAAGCCGCACTTAGGCGGCCAGGAAATGTCCGCTGGTCATGCACCCTCTTGTTTCTGAGGATGATTTTCAAACATGATTAATTATAAGGAAATGAAAAGCGGATAATTCATCATCTCAAGTCGTGAGGCAAGCCCTGTCTATCCTGGGGCAACTCCAGTCCTTGTGTATAGGTTTGATGGCGCGGACTGATTACATAAGTTAATACGATTCCATACAATATCATGCAATGAATTGACAGATAGAAATCAGCATATATATATATATATCATATGTGTATATATATATATATATGATTATATATATATGATTATATATATATATGATTATATATATATATATATATGATTATATATATATGATGTGATTTGTCTATTTCCCAAACCTTGTGCACCAATCCGGGTTATGTCATCGCCATGTCCGCATGCTTGACCAAAGGGGTTTGCCAACTTCCTCTGCATCCGGCATTTTGCTTGAAGGCCCAAGAGGGGTTGACCTGTGGTGTGCCTGGAAAAAGGGCACTAGGCGCGTGGTCTTTGTTGGAGCCATAGGGTTGGCCTTTTACATCATTTCCATATCGATCGTGGACGATCTTCCTTCGGTTATTGGTTCAGGAGGACCCCCATTTCTCATCTTGGTTGGATCAGGGAATCCAAGGTACATCTTCAACTGGAGTGTCAAGGCCCCTACCATTGCATCATCCGCATTGGCAGCGGAGCTGCGAGCTCCTTGGAGATTGGTGTGTTCATCAGGCGGTGAACAAGGTGAAGAAGCCACTTCAACTAGTGTCTCCGGAAAGGAGGTGATCCGAGGGCATTACAGTTTTTGGAGTGGAATACAGTATGAGTGCCGATGGGGAGGCATCCGGAAGTCAGGGCCCTGGGGGTTCTGCATCATTCCTCCCATGGCATTTGATCCCTTCGTTTGATCCTGGCGAAACAGATCTTTCAGATTACACGCGGCGACTGGAGTTTTTGGCTGGCATATGGCCATCGGACCAGCTTCAGCATCTAGCTCCTCGTGCTGCTCTCATGTGTAAGGGCTCAGCTTTTCAGAAAGTTTTGCGGCTTGATCCTGAGAAACTGAAAGTGAAGTCACCTGATGGCGTGAAGTTGATCGTCACGACACTGGGTGGAGTCTGGGGGAAAACAGTTTTGGAGAACAAGTATGAGAAGTTTGAGAAAGCAATTTACGGCATTTCCCAGCGTCAAGACGAAAGCAACGATTCATACCTGGCCAGACATGAGATTTTGTTCGAAGATTTGATTTCCCAAGGTGCACAACTGTCGGAGATGAGAGCCTACATTCTCCTTAGGAATTCAACTCTTTCCTCAGAAGACAAAAAGAAGGTCCTGGTAGAGTCGAAAGGTGATCTGAAGTATGATACAGTGACCACTGCTATCAGGATGTTGGGTGCCAAATTCTTTCAAGATGTGCAGGGCAATCAGAAGATCAGCAAAACCAAAACGTACGATGTCAATTACGTCCAAGAGTTGGAAGAGGAGCCCCACTTTGATGACTCCTCTCATGCCTTTCAGCTGGATCATGTTGACTTGACCGAGGCCTTGGTCGATCAGTTCATCCAGGAAGGCGACGAGGATGCACTTGTGGTGCAACAATTCGAAGATGCGATGATTGATACAATCCAGAACGACCAGGAAATGACAGCATACATGAATGCCTATGTAGAGGCACGCAAGAGGTTGACGGAAAAGACGAAGAGTCGTGGGTTCTGGCCTGTGAGAGCCAAAGGCTCTGGAAAAAAAGGAAAGGGTAAAAATCCTTTCATGCGATCCCGGAAGCCCCTAGCTCTTAGGATAGCTGAAAGTGAGTGCAGACTATGTGGTGTCCGCGGTCACTGGAAGGCTGAGTGTCCGAAGAGGTTTTCCACCACCCCTGCATCCGTTCCGAAAGCACAGCCTGTGAATGCCATGATCTCCGTCACAGACACCTGTGACGATGAAGCTGATGTCTTTGTGATGGAGTCGTATGCCGACATGCCTGTCCCATTGTCTCATGCCGCCCAGGTGCCACAGGGTTTTGGGTCAGTTGTCCACTCCCATAACTGTTGTGTATGTTGGGGCCTAAAGGATAATGGGGATATAAGACAAAGTCATGGTATGTACTATAATCAGGTGAAGGACCGAATGCAGTGCCTTCTCAAGTCTATCTCGCATCCGGCCAACAGGTGGAAGGGTCCTGAATCACCACTGAGCAACCCCTCTCCAATGACGATGCCTGATGATAGCGTGTCTTCCGGTAGTTTGCAGTCCGGTAGTGTGTCTTCCGACAGCAT